TCTTAATCTAGTAAAAGTGACACCTGATGACTTACAATAGTAACAGTGAATTAGAAGATGCTTTTAAGACCTTTGATAATTTTTTTGTTTTGATTGTGTCTTTAAAGCAGCCATCTGACAACAGCCCAGATATTTAATGACTTCTGCTTTTTATGTGTTTACCAGAGATTCCTTCCTAAATCCAGGCACTTCAGTTTACAGAAGATGGTTAGCCATTCTGAAGGTGCTGTATTTATTGCACATCCTTCTGGTTCTTACTGTAGCCACTATCACATCTGTAGGACAGACTTCCACTCCTTGGCTAAGAATTCCCAGGTTTTGTTCCTGTGGGTGTGCTGGAGATACCTGCATTTGTTCATTAATAAAAATTAAGAGGCTGGGATCAATCAATCACAGAAATAAGCAGTATCTTTGTGTAAGCTCCCATAATCTACCACCTGCAGGGATACTATTTCTACTCATAATGGAGGGAATCACTATAGTCACAAGCACAGTGTTTCTCCTGCACGCTGATTTAATTTTGAGCTGATGCTAGGCAGCCACAAGGCAGTGACTTTGATGAGTGCTACCTGCTTGGCCAGGCCAAAGAAGTGCAGCCACACAGTGCAGCAGACAGCAGAAACTGTGCTGTGTGTTGTGTAACAGGTTATCCAGTGAATGCCTAACGAGCCTTTGCAAAATGGAGGGAGCTTCAACTCATTCCTCAGCTCAATTCATACCTCTCCCTTAGAGCACCTGTGCAGGATGCTGCCCCTGTGGGCTAGAGATCCACACTTACCTTGTGAAATAAGACGGGGCAACTTCCTCGAAGTTCCATAGGGTGCTACAAAGCTGAACTCATGGATGGAGTTTGGTAACTGAGTGCAACTAATGGTGCTTTGTACGCAAGCATATATGCCCAACTGCAATCCCTGTGCTCCTCTGTGGCATGTCAAGGAGCAGGATCAGTGTGACTAAGTTTCTGGGCATCACCATCACTGGTACTTGCAACACTTGAGTACTGAGAAGATTGTGCAGCAGCAGGTGGTGTGGTATGTGTTTGAGTGGGCATGATCATATTGTAGAGAAATCTTCAGGAAAACAAATACATCCCATGGTAGAATCACAGAATAGTTAGGGTTGGAAAGGACCTTAGGATCATCTAGTTCTGAGCCCCTGCCATGGGCAGGGACACCTCACGCCAAACCATGTCTCCCAAGGCTCTGTCCAACCTGGCCTTGAACACCGCCACAGATGGAGAATTCACAACTTCCCTGGGCAACCCATTCCAGTGCCTCACCACTCTCACATTTCTTCCTTAGATCCAATCTAAACTTCCCCTGTTTAAGTTTTAACCCCTTATCCCTTGTCTTGTCACTACAGTCCCTAATGAAGAGTCCCTCCCCAGCATCCTTGTAGGCCCCCTTCACATACTGGAAGGCTGCTCTGAGGTCTCCACGCAGCCTTCTCTTCTCCAGGCTGAACAGCCCCAACTTTCTCAGGCTACCTTCACATGGGAGGTGCTCCAGTCCCCTGATCATTCTCATGGCCTTCCTCTGGGAGGGCCTTAGTAACCTTAGGGCCTTACTAACCTGCTTAGTAAGGATGCAACATTCCTGAGATTGTAGTAGGTGACCCCTGAATATCAACCAAGAGTCTTGGGCCCCCCTGCCCTCTAGGGCTATATCCCATGGAAGCTTACTAAACAGGTTCCTGAAGAGGCCAAAGTCTGCTCTCTTGAAGTCCAGGGCAGTGAGCTTGCTGCACACTCTTCTCACTGTCCTGAGGATCTTGAACTCGACCATCTCATGATGGCTACAACCAAGGCTGCCCTGGAGTGTCACATTTCCAACCAGCCCTTCACTGTTGGTGAGCATGAGGTCAAGCATGGCACCTCTCCTTGCTGGCTCCTCTGTTACTTGCAGAAGGAAGTTGTCTTCTCAAACAATTGAGGAACCTCCTGGATTACTTGTGCTGGGCTGTAACGTCCTTCAAACAGATATCAGTGGTTGAAGTCCCCCATGAGGACAAGGGCATGCGAGGATGAGGCTTTTCCTATCTGTCTATGGAGTCCTTCATCCACAGAGTCCTCTTGATCAGGCGGTCTGTAACAGATCCCCACAATAATGTCCCCTGTAGCTGTTCTCCCTTTAACCCTGACCCACAAACTCTCTGTTAACTGCTCACCTCTCCCCAGACAGAGTTCCATACTCTCCAGCTTATCCCTAACAGAAATACCAACTCCCCCTCCCTGCCTGCCTGGCCTGTCTTTTCTAAGGAGTCTGTAACCTTCCATTCCAACGCTCCAGTCATAGGAGCCATCCCACCATGTTTCTGTGATGCCTGTTATATCATATCCCCATAGATGTGCACACATCTCTAATTCCTCTTGTTTGATCCCCATGCTACGGGCATTTGTATACAGGCATCTGAGCCCAGCTCCAAATGAAGCCGGCTCATTGGCTGGAGCAGCTGGAATATCTCTACATTGGTCCTAGCATTTATTATAGGTGCTGGCAACTGAGTGGGTGTGTTGGGATGGAATGATGCCCCCCTCCCCCAACATATCTGGTTTAAAGCCTCCTGATCAGTCTGGCAAGTCTCCTACCAAACCACCAGTTCCACCAGCCCCCAGTAGACCTGGCCTACAGACTTGGGTCCCGTGTTCAAGACACCCAAACCCCTGACTCTGACACCACCTTTTAACCATTTATTAACCTGGCCAATCCTCCTAGCCTTTTTAAGGTCCTCCCCTGTATCCTGGAGAATTGACAAAAAGACTGTCTGAGCTGCAAAGCCCTTAACCACCTCTCCCAGGGCTCTGTAGTCCATCTTAATGTTCTCCAGGCTACTGCTATCTATATCACTAGCACCCACATGGATCACTAGAAGCAGGACTTACCACGGCAGGCAGCCTCTCTGCAACATCCGTAATCCATGCCCCTGGTAGGCAACACACCTCCCTTGAGACTGGGTCAGGCCGACAGATCAGTGCTTCTGTTCCTCTGCTTTTCAAAGTAGAGTCCCCTACTACTACTACCCACCTCTTTTTCCTGGCAGCACCAGTAGAGATCTGCTTTAGCAGTGCACCACCCGGTAGTTCATGGTGCGAGTGCGTTTCCTCATCAGCCCCCTGCAGGGCAGCAAAGCGGTTCTCGGTGGGGACAACAGATTTAAGAGGAAGCCCCTTGCTTTTAATTGTCCTGTTCCTCCTTTTTTTGTTGTGTTTTTGGTTGGTTGGTGGGTGGGTTTTTTTGTCACCATTTCCCAGCTTCCCGGGTTAACAGCCGCCTTCTTTCCTCCATGAGCTACAGTGGACGCTTGAGGCCCCTGCACAGTCTCGCCAGAAGCAAGCATTCCTGCTTCCCCTCAGCTTCCCTGACATCTTTCAGCTTATTGACAGCTTTCCGCAGCTCAGCCCCTGCTGCAGGAGGACCTCCACCAGGGAGCACCGAGCGCAGCCCTGCCCATTGTGCACCTTTCCCTCCCCAGAGCAGTGCAGGCACTCTCTACACCCCGAGGTCTGCGCTGCAGCCTCCCCTTTCATCGGCTCTGAGTGCCTACGCTGGCACCGCCGGGGCAGCCAGAGCAGAGCTCCCAGACCGGGCCCTGCTCACACGGCGAGTGCTCACCGTCCCGCTCGCCTGCCCGTGCCAACTGCCTCGAACCCGCGCTCCTGTTCGCCCGCGCTCCCTGGGGCAGGTTTTTACCCAGCCAGGGCTGGTGCCGCCCCTCCTGGCTCCTGTGAGCCCCTGCCCGCGTCAGCGGAGCTGCCGGCTCCTGGGCAGGTCCTGTCGAGGACTTGAGGCTCCCTCGGTGGCTCTCGGCGCTCTGAGTTGAGGCTCCTGGACGCTGAGCTTCCCCCCTCCCAGCCGGTGTTGAAGGCGTCCTCTCTCGAGCTACTCACCTCAGCAATTGACCAGGTAGACACAACAGGAATGCACACAGCTGCTGCCAAGGAGCTAAGCCACCTCTGCTTGGACTATGAGTGCTAAAATGTCACCTGTTCACCTATTTCATAGGAAACACCTAAGCCTATTAATGTGGTTTTTTTCATAGCACTATACCTTATTCTGCCACTTTTCCCCTCACCCCTTTCACTATCTTTTTTGTTGGAATAACAAGCATCAAAATACCCCAATGATGATGATTCCCTGAAGTAGAAAAGATACTTCCTAACCTTTTTTTTTTTTTTTCCTTGGAATTCTGCCTTATGAATCTTTTTGAACTGGAAACATAAAATACCAGAGACATCAGACATAAGCAATGCCATTTATTGAAGCTTGAAACAAGTATGTCATCATAATTTGCTTTTTAAACATTGAAATGTTAGAACAAGCAGTGAATGTGCCATGTTTTCCTGAGCCATCTGCTGAAGCTGATGTGTCTCAGGATAATATGGTAATATAATGATATTACACCTTTGCACTTAATACTCTGTTCAGTTTTGAGAATAGTGACCATCTGGGTTAGGATCATAAATTCACATTTACTTAAAATAGTTATGTCATAAGAAAGGAATCTGGCTAAATGGATGGGAAAGATGACTGCACATATTGTTAGCATAGAGGAGATTATTAGGCTGATGAGTGTGATGTAAGATCCTATGTAAAATAGAGCAAAATACTGCTTTATTAAAACAGTTTATGTTCTTGTCACAGTCTTTTCCCTAAAATTTTAAGTTGAGCAACAGTGATGACTATGCTTCCCTGGGTAGAAAGATTATTTTGATTAATGTCCATAAATTATTTATTCACTTTTATCCGTTTCAAAAGAAATGAACCCCCCCAAAAAAAAAAACAAACCCAAAACCAAACCCAAAACAACCCAACAATGAAGCCAGAAATGGTTTTACTCTACACTAGCTAAAGGAGCACTGGAATGGACAACCCTCCCAGGCACGTTTCCACCTGCACTATCAGTCATCTTCTTTGTCATTAGCCCATATACCTGATGGCCACTTCTGCTGACCTCTGTGGATAAAATATGCATATTATGATATTATGCATATTATGATATATGAGCATAGAACAGTCTGACTCTAAAGCTAATCTAACTTTGTCCTTCCCAAATCCTAGAAGATGCTTCCAGGAACACCAGTCTGGCTTGTCTGGCCATCAGAGACCTGCACTGGATGTAGCAGTACAGGGTCCACTCTACACAATGCAGCCTGATGACAAGCCCTGCCTGAATACTTCCTGAATCAGATGGAACACCTCTGCTTCTTCACATAATTCAGTATTACTGTGCCCAGTTGAATAAGAACTGTCAGCATTTCCATTGCTGAAAGGGTCAGCAGCCACTCACGACCTCAGAAGGACATAAGCACACTGTGAAACTTAAAAAGCATTATGTCTGGTATTGGCCAGCAACACCATAGACATGTATTATTTTAAGGGTATGTGCACGCATACTGTGTCACACGTGCACATGCACCATTGTAAGTCATCCCCACAACAGTTATATTAGCACCATATTTTTAACAGTGGATTTTAAGTTTTATCAGCACCTATAATTGGGGTTATATTGCCATCACAAAGGTTAATAAATCTAACCTTACCATGCTGCATATCCTGAAGTCCCAGAGACTTCAAGAGAAGAAGTAAGCCCTTAGCCAAAGGTCACAAATCTATGAAAAAGGACAATCAATCAGATTTGTGGCTAAATATTTCTATTAACATTCCTAAATGTTTGTCTAAAAGTATGACTACTGGTAGTCACAGCTCTGTAACCATAGTGACACCTGGATTCATGGCCATGTGCCTCACTTTGCACTGCATAAATGTGACATTTTCCTGTATTACAATTTCAAGTTGTCAGGTAGCTAGGGAGTAAATCTGAGATTTTCAGAAGAGCAAGAAGAACCAAGGTGTCCAAATCTGTCTGAATTTTAAAGGAATCCAAATGTCAGGTTCTGTCTAGCTCTTTTGAAAATGCCCAGTTTTGCCTCAAAGGGTCCAGTCTGGTCTCCCAAAAGTTTGTTCTGCCATTTTCAATAGCAAAACAGATACACTATTTGGCTGGTGCGTTCCCAATGCCTGAGGCCCAGAGCTACATAGACACTGGCTCTCAGGCTCCTGTCCCATGTGGCCTCACCCTCACTATGATGAAGGATTTGCAATAGGGAAAAGTTTACTATGAGTGAGGTGATAAAGTACTATTGTGAATGTGGTTTTAATTTTTAATTTTAATCACTCCACTAGGAGATATTTGATTAAATCATAGCTCTGAATATTGGTGCAAATGACTGTCTATTAAGGTTGTAGATCCAACCACCTTTGCTTTTCATGGTACCAAGAAATGTAGTTTAAAGTGTATTTGGAACTTAACATCCCATATTTGGTGGGGCTTTCAGGCTACGGCAAGACACATGTAGCAGAAGATAACTGGCCAGGACAGGTTATGGTTGAGGTATCCTTTAGAGGTTCAGTCAAGTACTAAAGGAACATTTTTCTTTTGAAAAACCCCATGTTTCAATTTGGCCTGCATATCATAATCAGTTATTAGAAAAAAAACTCTGCTCTTAAACACATGAAATGTGCAAACAATTTCGAGAAACACTGCCACTTCACCTTGATTCCTAAATACAGAGAAGTGAGTGAGCATAAACAGATCTGGCCCACAGTGCCTGTTTGTGCCTACTGCCCCATCAGCCACCTTCACTCAGCACTCAAACAAGCAGTGCTGCTGTTTCAAGTGGGTTTTGAAAGAGAAGTGGAAGAAAGAATGAGTTAAACATTCATTTAAAACAAACAAACAAAAAACCCCCCAATATTCTTGCAAGCTTGTTTCTAGCCTCTATGCATGCCTAGAAGTACTAGCTGCTGGTACACTGCAAATTATGTTACGGAATTTGGACTATTACAGAAAAAAACCTGTAGCAGTAAATTGGGACCAATAACCCTAAGCAATGTGTTTTCCCCGTTTTGATCAGAGATTTCCATTTATGTTGGATGGTTAAGAAGAAGAAACATAAAACCTGTAAACAGAAACCCTACTCAAACCAATTAGATAAAAACCAACTAGTGCTGAGCAGCTTGGTTGTTTTCTTGATTTTGAGGTGATTTCCTCCTTGATTTAGTGTAATTCTGTAGTCTGAGGCCTCGCTGATCCCCATATCTTGCTTTGTTATGAATTCGAGGCTGATTACACGTGAAGCAGCACTGAGTCTGTATGGATGGCAACAAGCACTTGCCAATGCCTTTCAGCCTCTGGCAGAACTGAACTGAGAGTTGGTCTTTGCTGCAGGGTGGCCCTATGATGGAGAAGATGAGAAGAATTAGCTATATTTTGCAGACACATGATCTATATTTCTAGAATTTTAATCTGCTTTATGCCAGTCATGTGCCTGTTACGGCTTTTGCTTATGATGGCTTTCTCTTCCCTTGTATTACAGGTCACCTTGTTTACCCTGAAATTTTAGGACTTCTAAGTGAAGAGGTTCTATTAAACTTCACACAACCTTCTGTCTTGGAAAATACAGCCCTCTTTTGCTACAGTTCAGCGAGGCTTTACTTTTGCAGCAGACGTAGCTGATCAATGTTTTCCACTTCAATGTTTCTGCTTTAAAGAACTGCCAAAGAAAGTCCAGCAACAATGATTTGTGAATCTGGCGCTTTTGCTTCTTGTAACAGTGCATTTAAGACAAGCAGAATGGGCTGCCAGTGTGCTGCAGAGCCATGCAGAAGATCGTAGACATGACATGTGCAACTACACGTTCAGTTTGACCACACTTCAGCTTCTGAAGCACAAGAATAAGCCAGGGATTGGTACTGTAGGAATTATGGTGCTGATACACCTGTTGTCGCGTTAATGAACAGAGATGTGTCAAATTTATTTAGAAATTACAAAATGGAGGTCCTTAGTTGTGAAAATAGATGGCTAGGGGGAGAGTCAAGGTTTGCAAAAGTAGGAAGATGGTGGATTAGTCAAATGCAAGGCTGTTCAGCAAATCCCCTCACATTAGAACTAAGGAAACTCAGTAAAACTAGTGTAAAGGTAGTTTAAAACAGATAAAAGCACTCCTTTTCACAGCAGGCTGTGAACCTCTGGAACTTGCTGCCACAGGAGAGGGTGAAAGCAGACAGCATGGCAGGGTCAAAAAGGGATGCAACATATTCATGGAGAAAGTTCCATAAATCTAAAGGCACCAAAAAGGATGCCTTTAATAGTCCTAATATGTCAGTTGGGAATGCTGGAGGAATGCCATGGAAATTAATCACAGGAAAGGACTAAACTCCTATATTCTTCCAAAGTAGCATCTTCTAATGACACTCCTGGAGACACAGTGTTGGGCTTCATGGATCACTGGTCTACCCACTAGGGCATTTCTTCCTTTTACTGACCCCTTGAGCTTTTATTCACAGAAATAATATTACTAGTCTGTGTAGGCAGTATTTATCTAAGTCTTTCTTTCTCAACATGAGAGGGACAGGAGGTAAGCAGTCCCATTCAACCCTCGGGCAAAACATGTGCTGAAGATCTTTGAGCAGCAGCAGGAGTGATGAATCACTCTCAAACGTATGACAGATATGTACTGCCCTCAGGAGTCAACCTCTTGTCTCACTGCCAGATTGGACCCTTACTGCTGACTTCCTAAAGGGTAAAAATATTCTCCAAAAGGCTTTTGAAGGCTTTTCCAGAAGTACTCTGAGCTGTTGCTGCTCTTAGCTGAGGGTACCTACTGGATAATGCACTAGAGAGGCTAAAGTTACCTTTCTGTAAGCTTCCTCCTCTCCCTGCCACTTCTCTTCTGGACTATTAATCATCTACAGGGCTCCTGGGCTTTTGAGGGAGAGAGATACCCTGAGTAACAAAAGGACTTCTCTCCACTTCTTCATTTTGGGGACTGAATTTATAGTGCCAAGACTGTATCTGGGTTCATTGCCACTCAAGATTTTGATTACAGTGTCTCACTTTGCTTCCTTGCACTCCCAGTTCAGAATCTGCAGTTCCCATAGGGCTATCTATTCTAAGAAATGACATCTGTTTAGACTCACAGCATGTCCCTCCAAGCCCTCTGAGCAGCCTGTGAGTTACTTAAAACAAGTCAATACAAACAGACCTATTCATTCAGTTGTGGCATTATGAATGAGGGACGCATGCTCAGAGAACTGCATTCCCCAGCATGAGAACACAAGGCCAGAAGGGCTGGAGAACAGGATAACATGATCCTGCCAACAGTGTGGCTGAGCAGTAGCAGGTTAAGCTGACTTGTAATTACTGAGCCCCTGGTAATCAAAACGAGCTGTAAATTGGGTCAGCTCCCAGTTTTTTCAGAATTTCAGCACAAATGGAGAACTGTTTGGAAAATGTCTGATGCAGGTGTGGTAACATACCTGTACTTTTCCTGCACTCTTGCAGACTGCATTTCTGATATTCTGTGGGCTTGGGTTTATCCACACACATACTGTCATTTTCAGTTTCATTAGTTTCTGTGTTCATGCACTCCACAGTTCTTTGCCGAATGCCCCCTCCACAAGAAACGGTGCACTGGAAGAGAGTAATTTTAACACACATAAAAGCCTTCTACATGGAAATTGTGTAATATGCCAATACTTGAACTGTAATGTGACAGGAAGCTAAAAAATGCCCTATGATCCAGAACCAATGACACTGAAGAACTTTGTGTACTGTATTCTTCACCCAGACACATCCACTGTGCATACTGGCCAGATTTGGCAGGGTGTGGTAAAGGGTAAATAGTATAAATATAGCACCTTGAAATGTGTAACCAGGGTGAGAAGAATGTTTTCTGCAAGAGGAGGGTGAGGATAATCTGAAATACCAGTCTACAACATAAGTGGGTAGTAATCCAAATTAGTACTGTACACTGACATTTTTTTGTTTCCTGTGTTTTCTCACCATTTAAATTAAACATGAATAATCAATTGTAGTGTTAGGTCTAGAAATGACTGAGCTGAAGATTAAAACAAGCTCAGTGAGATGTTTTTTTCTTTGGTGACATTTATACTGTGGTTACCCATTCTTTATGACCACGGAACAACTGCCAGCTGCTTGTTCTGGCTGCACACAGATGGCCACAAAAAAAAGAACATTTTCAAAACATGTTCCTGTACTATTGTGTAAATGCACTTAATTCTTCCTCGAGCATCTGAGAATTCCAGTTAATATTAAATTCTTTTTCTCTTCACATATATAGTGGCCAGCAACACAAATACTTCAACAGATAGAGAAGGCCAGCTAATGAAGAGCAGGAGATGAAGACAGGACTGGTACCTCTTTAATTTTTATGCAAATTATCTTCTCTCTAATGTTTCTGTGCGTAAGACAAAATATTACTGGTGTGAAGTACATTTAAAAGATCTTTGGTACTCTTGTGGCAACTTTAGATTGATGTTTAAAAAAGGAATTTTATAAAGTGAAGTAAATGGGATTAATAAATCAGTAAAATAGTTGTTATACATTTTGGTATTTAGTTGCTTATCTTAGGCATATCCCAACATTTTCACTTCCACATTTAATTGTTAGTTTCACTGTGTATTATACTATACTCATATCCCATCTAATGGCCTTGTGTCATAAACAACTCATTAAATTTTCTGTGTTAAATGACTCTCCATTATTTCTTTATTTGTGTCTCCTGGCTTTGGTGTTCTTTCAATGTTCTCTGCTGCTGTAAGGAGTATTGGTAATGCATGAATAGGTTTATTAAGAAAACTGGAGGGAGAGCTTCATTTGATATACCAGTTTCTTTATAACTAAAAATGTATTGCAGATACTGGAAGGTTCCCCAAAGATACACCTTATATTTGTCAAGTAGATTTTCAGAAACCAAAGTAGATGGGTATTGGTCAAAATTCAGAGTTTCTGTTTCTGTGGGCAAGTCCAGTATTCTGCAGAGTTGCTTTAAGGGTCACCCTGACCCAGTAGTCTCAGAGTTGAAAATTTTAAAGGAGTAACGGAAGTATGTCAATGGTATCTCCTTTTTTATTTTCACTCTAACAAGCTGCCCAGAGTGGTTGTGGCTGCCCCATCCCTGGCAGTGTTCAAGGCCAGGTTGGATGGGGCTTGGAGCAACCTGCTCTAGTGGCAGGTGTCCCTGCCCTTGGCAGGGGGTTGTAACTGGATGAGCTTTAAGGTCTCTTCCAACCCAAACTGTTCTATGATTAGAAAAGGAAAAACAAAAACAGAAACAATCAACCACCCAACAACACCTACTGCAGCAACAAGACGGAAAAGATACCATGTTTATGACCTGAAGGAACTGAGAGGGCTGACTCTGAGACGTTCAGCTGAATTTTCAGATCTTCCGTTGTAGCTCTGCATAAGAAACTGTACGTGCCACAGGCACAGAGGTTCACAGACAAGTGGGTAATGTGACCAAATATGTCCAACTAATGACGAGACACAGAACAAGAACTGAATCCTACCGGGCCCCATGCCTGGTTAGTCCACTGCGTACAAGGTTGCCTGTTACATGGTGCAATGGCATTAGGTCTTTTTGTCCAGTCACAGTGGCCTTCTTCTGGGCAGTAGATATGTCGCTTTTGCTGTCCACCACCACATGTTCTTGAACACTACAGAAGAGGTACACAAACCATCAAGGTGAGAAGTGGGAATGGATGAGAACCCAGAAACAGACCATGATGACAGTAGGAAATCTTCCTCATTTAGAAAAGTGGAACCACAAGTAACAAGAGGCATGTCACTGACCCATGTGATTTAGAAAGATGCGGGCTAGCCTGCAATATCAAATCTTACAGTCCGGATATGAATAAAAGCTCTACGCTGAAACATTTATTTCTTCATATGCTTCGAAAGAGAGAAGAAGAAGCCTTTATTGGTCAAAATACTTGCGAAAAGCTGTTCCTGGCACATATTAATGCATGGAATATAGGAAAACATGGAAGTGGCAACATACAACAGGCAACACAGAACTGCTCACTAGCACCACTGGCAACAGTAATTTCTCTAACGAGATTGGAAGTCGCATGTCTGCAGGATTAATCTGTAATATTTACTGCAGACAGTACAAATTCATGAGAGGCAGCATCTCATTTTTATGAGGCAGTTGAGGACATTAAAATTCACACAATCTATAAAATGGATTAAGTGTTTGGCCATAAAAGCATCATACAAAGACAATGACCCAGGTTATTTTTAAACATTTTTTTTCCCACATCCTAGTATGACATACTGCACACAGACCAATATGACTAAGTAATTTTTACTATTACTCACTAGGTCTACAGTAGAGCCTGCTTAAAATACACAAAAGATTTTGTACATTGACATGAACTAAGGTGCCAGTTACACTTTGAATAATGCATTGTTCCTGTCCTACAAGGAACTGCATCCCTATGGACAGAGGTCTAGAGCTGACATCTGATAAATGAAGCTTTTCAATCCAAATCTATTCAGTATTCTTAGCATGAGGACAACTGTCAGGGTTGGACAAATGTTTGTATGAAATACTGTAAGTAAGTGGCAAATGAGTGCAATCACTTGGCTACACTTTATTTTTAGAACCCTTGCTCACTGCTCTGAAAGGAAACCCCCATCCTGGTCTTCCAATTGCAGCTGTGTTTTGTCAGTGGCCTGTAAGGAAGCAATCTGATCACCTCCTTTGGAATCCAAAAGCATCAGGTCCACAGTGTCTCAAACACTGTGGTGCTGTCTCCAAAGCTGCTTTTAGTGGGTGCAAACACCAAAATGTAATCAGACCAAGTGCCTTAGCTGACACAAATATGTGCCTGGCTGCCTATGGGTTTGTTGCCACAGATTTTATATTACAAAAGTGAAATTTAACTTAAGTCTGACCTCAGACTCTGGCCCCATAAAATTCCAGCCCGAAAGTGTAAAATTCTAAAATTAATTCTAAATTAATCATAAAGTAATATCGAAATGGCAGCAAAAGGAATAAGTCTGAATGAATAACATTTACTGATCCAGTATGATAGCTAAAACAAATCTTCCAAGCCATTTTCTTCTCTCTTTCAGGGTATGGTAATCTACAGCTCTGTGTATCCCATGCAATCCTAAGAATGATTCTGGGAAGTCTTACAAACATCCATGATAATAGTATACACAAGGACTGCAAAGCCTTTGAGTGGTATGAGCTGTGTGTCTACCTTTGAGCCTAAGCTGACCTACAGCATGTCTCTCAGACACTTAACCGACACATACTTGCTCTTTTCTAAAGCTTCTTTTAAACAGCAATACCTCATTCCAGGGCTCCACATGCCACTGCAAGCAAGGCTCCATGTTACAACTGATGTTGATTTGTGGTTTATATCCAAGTAACTGGCAATGAAAAGGCCTGAGGAGTCGCTTCTCACGAACATCAATGCAGTGAACGTCACGGGTCTTGAAACCTCCACTGCAGTTAGCAGAGCACTGTACACAAAACAGAAAGAGGCACATATCTAAGTGATACTCCACTAATGCTTCCCCAGTCACACAGAAAGACAGCCTGAGCTTTGAACATCCTGACTCAGAGGGAATTTCCAGTTTACCATAACAACAATCTGCTGTTTGGTATAAACACTGTGGTTTTCATCATCACAAATCAGAACTATATAAATACTTCCCTTTCTTCATTGGAATATCCATTAATAAGATAAGGGCATATTTAATTAGGAAATCTTGCCAGCTATTTCAAAATACGTCATTGTAGAAGGGTCATAATACAGTAAACACAAAAAAATGAACCCTGTATGCACAGAAGTTGTCAATTTAGTTGTTTCTCAGGTATGAAGAGAATGAGGAAGGAGGCACAGTTGCCTGAGTTGATTCTCAAACAGCCAATGGAAGACATAGGTGTCCATGGCATCATTTAACTCAGGCTGGCAAAACCACTCCTCATCTTAGCTCACAGGCTTGAGCTGCTGTTGATACCACTAAAGGCAATGGACTCATCCTACAGTAGCAGCTCCCACCCTCACCTTCCTTGCTCTTACATGGAGGATCCATAATCCAAGTGCAGCCTGGGTGAGAAGAGAGAGGCACCCTGAGTCCCACTCACAGCCTGTGAAATTGCTTCTCAGCTTAAACGTGAGCCAAGAGAGCGCTACCAGTCTCCTATTTCTCCTCAGAGCTTACCCCAAGGCCTCATGCAGAAGCACCAGGTTCTGTCCCCAGATACCAATGCACAGAACCTGCCCTGATACTGAGAAACAACTGAATTTGCTCCCCCAGAGACAGGGACAAATGCATATTAGCCAATTCTGCCTATACCACTTTCAGCTTTCATCTTTATTGCCATGCAGTGCAACAATTGGTGCTGTTCTCCTCTGTGTAAATAAGCATTCTTCAGTTGAACAAGGAAATTGAACATAATACTTTCCTGAAACCTAAAGGATGTTTGGAGGGGGAGTTCAGACTGTTGTTCACAGAATTTTTTGTCCCTCTGGATAGAAACAGAAGTGACTATGCAAGAAACCGAGCACATAGCCCCCAGATGTGCAAAATACATTTGGTATTAAACCCGGGTATTAAGACCTAGTCTCAAACACTTTTCTTTTAGGGGAGGGAAAGAATTAAATGAGAGTAAAGGAGCAAAGACGACTCTCGTACACTAGTAGGGGAATACAGCCATCTTGTTGTGATAAGGTGCCTTAAAAATGTTTGAAACAAGTTACAATAACGGCCACATGCAAAAGCAAAAAAAAAAAATTAGCAATTTTTATATATGAAATTGAGATCAGGTTTGTATAGTTCAATTGCTGGAAATTAGGGGTGGCTAACACAACAGAAATCTGCAAGGAAAAGCCTTTTGTCTCAAACTGGCCTCACAACTGGATAGACATTTTAGAACATTTGTTTTCTGTAGTATTTTATCATTAAACTCGATTTCAAGCTGCTTTCTGTGACGTAACTAGCACCCACTTGTTACAAGAGCAGTAACATTTATAAAGAAAAAGTTAAGGTGAAATATGACCTATTGCAACTGGAACTGCAGATATCTACATATCATTTTAAATGACTTTCCAATGCTTGAAATGGTTACACAATGCCTTGGCCTCTTGTGGACTTTCTAGAAAGGCATGTGTTTCATGTACAAATCAATTCTATGTCGAAGAGCTCAATTATACAACACAAGTTCTGTAACTAATCTTTTCTTTTTATGAATCTGTCCTCTAGCCCAATGGAAACAATGCTATCTGCAAAATCATACATATTGACAAAGTTAGAGAGATCTGCTTTTTTCTTTATTAAACCAACATTACTGCAAATAGAATTTTATAGTTTTTCTCTTTTGAGTCTTGAAAAATAACCCCATGCTTGAAGCCTCAGCTTTAGACATCATAAAGACAAAAACATAACAAGCTTCAAGAAGTCATTGAAGACCTTCCAGATGCTCATCACACATCTTATAATACCAAAAAAGAACTAAAATGCAACTCCTTGGATTCCACCTACTACCTTGGACACTTTTCTCTCTTGACCTCACCTGTCTACATAACAAGGAACAAGTAAGACCCTAGTCATGGCAAGCATTCTCCCCAGTACATCTTTCCTTAGGTTTTGTAATGTAAAACTTGGAAGTTACATGAATGGGGAACAGACCATATTGCATTAAGAGATAATACAGGGTGGCAAAGGTTAATACAAACATATTAACACCCTCTCCGAAATGTCCACTTGCTTCTTAAAATCAGGACATGCCTCTTGAGGCAGAGATCAAAAAGATGCCATATGCAAATATCTACAGCTTTGACCTAGGATCTCCACAGAGCATGGACACGCTTTAGCTCTAGATGAAAGAGTTGATGAGCCTGGCCCCTACACAGGAAGAACAGAATTCACAGGAGATGCGTTTCCATAAATAGCTTATTCAGGAAATTAGGAAATTAGTGCTGAATGGTCATCTGGGAATCACGCATGCATTCACTGAGTAAATAATTATTTTTAAAATGAAGTATTTTGAACCTGCTATTCTTTGAACTAGCAAGCTTACTGTTCACACACAGCTCTGAATCAGGTTACCTTGCTCCAATTTCCTGTCTTCCAGCTAGCGCACGGGCGGAGATAACATTTCCTTGCAGGATCAGGCTTTTTCGAGTGCTGACAGTGAGATGTGTTCCTGCTGCTGCACTCCACGTGTCTCCAGAAAGCCCCCATTCCACACGTGGTAGAACACTGCACATGGGTGAGAGGAAAGCCCAGGGGCAAATGCAGCATTAGTGAATCATTATGGAAACAATCAAGATTAATCAATCAATGTAAGTATTTAGATCTATTTTAGACGGCCTAGCTTATCTGAGATACTCAAGGGAAGATTTCAAATTCACCTAAGTCTTACTTCAGGTTCTGTTGCTTTGTTAAGACAATGCAAATTCTAATTTGTACCAGCTCTTGTACACTGCTCTTCTCTGGCAAACTCATGCTGAGTGAGACCTTCTAAATCCATACCAGCTGTTCCATTGTTTCCTTCTGCTGTCTTTGGGGATCCAGTGTAAAATGTCATTGCATCCAATCTTCAGCACTGTTACCTCTCTATCCCCAGTACTGCTCATGAGACATTCAGCAAATGGAGTGCAGGATGCTGAAAATCTGAAATAAATTATATGAGGCTCTTGCAAAAACTGTGCAGGAAAAGGATTTTTGAAATGAGTTCAGAGAGCAGGTGTTTCCAACATTTGGGAGAGTTTTAGTGGCTGAGGTAAGAGAATATTGATCATGCCAATCCGGATCCCAAGAGTTCAACAAAAAAGTCAGTATCATTTTATTCTGAAGCAGGAAGGGGTGAAAAGTGGCTGGAAACACCCATTTACATTTAAAAGGGAGAGGCAGTGAACTATATACACAGAGTTAAATCCAACACGCACTAAGCAGCCTGTAGCTGGCATGAGAAACAGCATAAATAATCTTGGTTTAAGTCAGCAAAATGATAAAGAAGGCAACTGCTATTATGTGGTTTGAACTCCCTATGCACTAGGGGAAGAGTTAAACAGGGAAACTGAGTAAGTGTCCTCGGAAAGATAAGGAAAGCTAAGCTGAAGTTAAGGCAGAGAAAAAAAAACAACAGACAACCCAAATGCTGAAGACATGGAACTGTTACCAGATTCAGTCAAAGAAATGAAAAAACATTAATGGCCACAATCAGGAACTTTGGGAAATTTGCACATTATGAAGAGAGTGCATCTGCAAGGTCTCCGCAGCACGCCATCTCCAGGTTCTGAGACTCCTGGAACATCTGTCCAAGAGGCCACAAAGATCCTGCTGAAGTGGACCGCATACCACTGTTTAGATTTGCATAGTCACGTATCTGTCCAAGACAACTTGCTCGTTCAGGAGGACTCACTGTCCTTTTTTTGTCTGCTGTTTGCTGGCTCCTCCAGCCCCGCTGTACGAGTCTGAAAACACCATGTCTTTACTGAAGGGCTGCTTAGTCTTTGACCAAAGCCCCCTTCTGACCATTCCTGAGAAGAACAAAGGTTCAGGGATGATGTTGGCCAGATCCTACTTACAAAGCTTTATGTTCTAGTCTGAGCGAGGTGAAATACAGCAGGGTTCTTTCAAAAATTGCTGTGAGAAGATTCAGAGCCAAGACAGAAAGACATGATGTTGAAAATAGTACTCGGAGAAAGCTTTAGCTTTCTTGACAATTGTTTCATGTCACATAAAGACCAACCACTCTGAAGTTCAGGAAGACTTTCTGCTTTTCCTTTTGTCATTCAGGAACCAAGACTACTTCTTGTCACAGTAGATGTCTATTACAGAAGGAGGAAGTGCAGGTGATTTTCCATGACTAGTAAGAGAAGTGCCGAATGAGCAGATATGGTGGTCATGGGGTATATCTGATACCCAGATAACTCTTAGAAAGGGAAAAGTAACAGCCCAGAATGACCTGGGAGAGTAGTAGGAAAGAAGTTAAGAGTTACACACAGAAGCACTAGTGTCATTGGCACTCTTTTGCCCTACTCAGGAGAGTGTCAGCAGATATGGTGGTCATGGGGTATATCTGATACCCAGATAACTCTTAGAAAGGGAAAAGTAACAGCCCAGAATGACCTGGGAGAGTAGTAGGAAAGAAGTTAAGAGTTACACACAGAAGCACTAGTGTCATTGGCACTCTTTTGCCCTACTCAGGAGAGTGTCCAGATGGCTTCACAATATCTCCAAAGACAGAGAGTCCACAAATTCTCCTTTTCACCACTTTTTCTTCTTCAAAGTTGGAAAAAAAAACCAAAAAAAAGCAAAGTTAAATGTGCCAGGCTTCACATAAAGTTAATTTTAAGGAGAAAAAAAAAAAAAAAGCTTGAATGAGAATAGCAAAAGATTACTAAAACATTAAAGATGAGTAAGGTTAGATCCATTAAGGATCCTCAAATTGATTTAATCAGTTCTGTGAAATCGAATGTATTGATGTTACCTCATTATTCATTCAAGTGTTCTTGAATAATCTTTTATCTGTTTGGAATAGTTTGGAAAAGTCCCAGAGGATTAGAGAAGAACATATTTCAAGTTATCTTTAGGATGCTTGTCAAGTTATCTTTAGGAAGAGAAAAAGCCAGATCTATGGTCTAATGCAACACTTCATCTAACTTTAATTCACAAAAGGATATGGAAGAGATCAAAATTGTAAATACTAACAAAGAAGATAAAGCAGTGAAACAGCCCACATGTACCTATCTAGCACAAAATATTCAATTCAATATCGTTCTCTGACAGGGATACCTGGCTTAATGAAAATAGACAGATGGGATGTATTCTGACATGATCACATACAGCATTCTTTAGCAAATGTTGGAAATATGATCTAGGTGAAATAATTTCGAGATTGGTGCACAGCTAACTGAAAAACTGTAGTAAAGTGGTCTTTGGTGATTCAGTGTAAAACTGAAAAGGTCCTGCAGGGCTCTGTTCAGAGCCAAGCTGTCTTCAGTATCAACACTCACTAATTTAACGAAGGACGGCATGCACTTAAAACATTTGCAGATGATGCCAAGCTGGAAGAGTTGTCAGGAATGTTGGAGGACACAATCTGAATTCAAAAACATCTCACCAAGCTAAAAATTGTAAGAAAACACTAACCTTAAATTCAAAAACATGTGCAAAATACTCCATGTAGTGAGAACCTTTTATACACACATACACACACACATGCAAACGTTTACACACATCCCAAACCAACCTCAGAACATCTGCTGATCTAGAAATACTGCATTAAGGAATCCAGGGTTTACAATGGACCACAAACTGAAGAAATCAAAAGTATGACAGTTCTAAAACAAGACAAATCTGATCCCATAATTCACAAGGAGGGTCATAAATAAAATGACATCAATTATTCCATTTTATCTGACAAATACCAGCTGGGGCGATAATGAACATCATTTATAAAGAAATATATGATGAAACTGAATCAAGTCCATAAGAGAGCAACAAAACCACTGGACATTTAGAAAATACTGGAAATATTTAGGAATGTGTAAAAAAATCTAAAAAGTATCAGATTGTTTTGTTTAGAAATCAGTCCCCAAAACAGTTATTAGGAAGACAATTATTGTCTGTGATCTGCACATAAAAAATAGAATCTTCATTTAGAGTACAAAGGATGTTGATTATATGTAAGGAATGTATTTTTAATGGAGATAAAGAATCACTAGGACAGACTATAGCATTTCTGAAATATACACTTCTAATTTTATGTTACCACTACTACAAAACAGTTCCAATATGCAGTCACGTAAACTTCAAACAAAGCTGCAGAATTCCGTATTACAGTGTCTCCCACCTACATGTGCTGGACAAATTATGAACCCTGGATATACTGGTTTAACTTTGGACTAATATTCTTATCTTTGCTTTGTAGATTCAAACTGGTTTTATGAGGCTGAAAGCTGCTCTGAGTTTAGAGAGGCATTTGCTAATGGTGGATACAAACACTGACAGTGGGATGCGAGAGAAATTCACCACAATAATCTGTTAACAAACAACTGAAAATATGTGTAAGTATCCATACTATTAATGTGCATTACACAGTAACATAGCTAATTTATCTACATGACCCTGGTCACATCGTAAGTTTGAAAACAGACATAATTTAGACAGAAATTGTATGTAACTGAAGGCTGCAACATAAAAGCACATCTACAGCTAACTCATGTTATGTACTTATTTGGAAATACACACATATTCTTTTAGTGTCTCCAGGATTCACCTAATTGCTTCATATTTTGCTGTACTCTAAAACAAAACCCTTGAGGTATTTCTGGTTATAAACAAACCTGAACATCATGTCTCTGGAAAGCTTTAGAACAGAATAGAGGGTTTTTTTCAGTTAGAAGAGACCTACAACGATCCTATAGTCCAACTGCCTGACCACTTCAGGCCTGACCAAAAGTTAAAGCCCATTATTAAGGGCATTGTCAAAACAACTCTGAAACACTGACAGGTTTGGAGCATTGACCACCTCTCTAGGAAGCCATGTTATTGCTGGTACAGGCCAGGATGCCATTGGCCTTCTTGGCTGCCTGGGCACAAGCTGGCTCATGTTCAGCTCCATCAGTCAACATGTCCAGGCCCCCTTCCACTGAGCAGTTTTCAGCCACTCTTCCCCAAGCCTCAACCATTGCATAGGGTTGGGGTTGTTGTGTCCCAAGTGCAGGACCCGGCACTTCGCCTTGTTGAACCTCATCCCATTGGCCACAGCTCATGGATCCAGCCTGCCCAGATCCCTCTACAGAGCTTCCTACCCTCCAGCAGACCAACCTCTCCTTTCTGCCCTTTTTGTAGAGAATCATCACACTGACCAACCTCCAACCCCCTGGGACCTGCCCACTAGACCAGGACTGCTGATAAAGGTATAATTTTGTACACTGGTATAATTTCAGACACTGGAGTAACAATAATTTTGTACACTTGAGTAACACTGGCAGTCAGCGGGAACCTCCCCTGACTCTCAAGAACTTTGGTAGATGGTCAAGAGGGGTCCTGCCGTAACATTCACTAACTCCTTCAGCATTCTGGGACAAATCCCATCAGGCCCCATGGACTTGGGAACGTTCAGCTGAGAAAATGCAAGTGACCAGTTATGCATAGTTCTGCAGAATCCACAAATGCAGACATATTCTGTGTAAGCAATCTAGTATTAGATAATCCAAGTTACCATTCTTTTTTTTTTCCTCGTGACAAGCATTGCATAAAAATGTATGACACTCCTTTTAGATAACTGTTAACAAACTATGAAGCTTTATGTCCTCAGCAGTAGTTCAGACAGCAGTTCACACCCTCCACTTTTTAGGAGTTAAAAATAACTTACCTCACTCCAGTTGCCTACCACCCAGTAGGCATCACCAGGCAAACTGTTGGATGTTATCAGGTGGCTGTTTCCTTTGACATCGGTTAAAATACCCCCAGATGTTGCACTTCGGTTCCTGAGAGCAGGCTCTAGAGCTGACGACTGTGTGCCGGTCGTTACAGTTTCAGGTAGCTTCCTTTCTCTTCTGATGTCAGTCTGATCTCTTGGTATGTGACCAAACACTGTGGGTGTTACTGTAACTGATGCTTGTGGGTTAATTACTTCTACAACAGGTACATCAATTTGCAGTCTGATATTTCCAGCTGTTGCTGGAAACGCCAACCCTTGTGCTGCTCTGCTAACAGGAAGGAGAGTAGAAGGGTCTTGGTGAAGAGTTGCTGGTGGGGCCTGAGAAGTCATACTCTCATTTTGAAGGACAGGAGACACAGTATGCAGGGTTGTGCTCTTGGTTCTGATTTCAGGATTCAGTTCCGTGCTGTAAAGGAGATCAATCGGTTTTTCACTGCCTCCAAGTGTCCCGTCCATGTAATCAGATTCTTCGGTTAAATAATCATAACTGGAAGTTATTTCTGGATTACTGGTAAAAGAGGAGATGGGAGTGTCCTCAATTCTTTGCACCTCACTCTCTACAGTAGAAAATGGCTCACTTCCAGAAGTATTTTGAACATGTTTTATAATTTCAGTATTTAAGCTATTGTGAAAAGGCCATGAAGTAGTGTTTTGGTACGAACTATTTTCAGTAGAAACAACTGGATGATTGTAAACATCACTTGGTCCAGAAAAATTATTTTGTAACTTTCTGTTGGCTGTTCCTTCTTCCTCTGAGACATTACCTAAACCAGAGGATATAGGCAAACAGGGAGTTACACTTCCAGGCTTGGGTACTTTTGTTGTTGTATGGGACCTCAGGCTTGGTATGGGTATTCTGTGAGGAGTCTCTTTGGGATTAGCAGTTGTTTTCCTGATTATAATCTTTCCTCTTCTGGGTGCCAGTCGGGGTATCAGAAATCTTCCAGCAGAAGGACATTGCTGGAGACCACACAGGGCCTTAGAGTTTGGTCTCTTGGAAGTATCACAAGGCTCTTTGTTATTTTTGGCACAAGTGACATTACGAGTCCTTATTCCACCACCACAAGTAACTGTGCACTGCAAACAAAACAGAATTATTGCTATCTTCCTTCTTCATTCTGCTGCACATAACAATAAAAGTAAGTATCAAATGGCATCTGTTTATCATTAAGAATCATCATTATAAATAATAACAAAGCTTTTCCTGAGGAACAAGCCCTTTATCCTAGTGATGTTCTAGCATGGAGCTCTTGACAAACACTTAGAACACTAAATGTTGCCTTGGGGAAACAGCAGTGAAAAAAGACTACACAATAAGGGCAAAATAAAAAAGTAATATGCTAGAATTTTATTTCTTCAGTGAATCACAAAAGTTGTTTAGCCAGTACCTTTTCCACCAGGGTTATAAAAAACAGACTAAAAACTTGCCATCAAAAACCATACCTGACTGGCTTAATGCTGGCTACAAAAAGTGCCACAAACCCACTGCTATCATCCACATCCAGGCAACTCACATATCTTTGCTAACTTTATGAAATGGATTTTTCATTCAGTCTTAATGCAACTACGATGTGATGCCAGGGCTGCTAGTACATCTCTCCTAAATTATAGACTACTGAGAGTAGTACCCTACCTGGCATCTATTTAAATGTGAGCACTTCTCTGGTTTGAGGTATTAAGGCTGGCTGGCTGGAGATGTAAAATGCAACAGGCTGGAGGAAGTCGTCCTAGGATGTGAAGGAGCCTGACCAGCTAATTTAGCTATCGTAAACCAGGTGCTTAAGTGATGAAGTGATGAATACTCCTACTGCCAGCATTTTAAAGCCCTTTTTTAGAGCTAGTCTAGGTCACAGGGCAGTAGAAACACCAGTGACCTTGTTTTAATGAGACACTGTCTACTGTTAACACTTGTAAAATAACATCAGCTCTGCAGCAAAAGCAGTGCGGAAGAAAGCAAAGTAACCTCAGAGTAGGTAAGTTCATTACCTATTCTGTCTGCCTTGCACATTCAGCTCTATAGCACATCAAAGTACTCAGAGCTACGGAAGTTTACATAAGCTGCATTTGACTATGTTGCTGCTTACACAGAAATGCAACACACTTGTCAGACTTTGGCACTTGGATGACTTAGATTAGCATTTGTGTGAGTTAAAAGGAACATCCAACCTCATTAACTTTTTGGGGTAATGACTGCCTTCCAGAATTAGCTTTGAAAATCTCTGCTTTAGATTATGGCCAAGTACTAAAAAGGTATTTCAGAATAGCTACAACACTCTACCCTCATTTTCTGCCTAATCATTTGGCTTACAAAATATAGACTTTCTAGCAACCAGATAAATGCAGACAGAAGTTATGCCAGTATAAAATCTCTCCTGTACATTCACCGAGAAAGAACATTCTGCAGTCACAAGTCTCCTGACAATACTTTAATTTCTGCAGGTAAAATAGTCTGTCTTATACTCCCTCCCCAATTTCTATAGGAGTAGAAATTCATTTTTATCAGTAACTTGCAAATACAATCCAATGACAAAGGAGCACTGGCAGTATTCTGTAATAGCATGTCATTTCTATATATTGTACTGCTAGCCATGTAATCCCAAGTCTATTTTTTCACAGGCAGTTAAAACACGGTGTCCACTCAGTTTACAAAACAATCAACATTCAGTGATGATGGTTTATGGGCAGCATAAACTGAATGAATACTGTTACAAAACTCTACTAGTTCATTATTTGAACCTGCTTTCAAAAACACTGAGTTTGTAAAAAAACCCAGAACCAAAACCAAAACCAGCTGGGAGAAATAAGGGAGAGGATCTTTCAAAAAGGAAATTGAATATTTTCAGTTGGAACTGACCTACAATGATCATCTAGTCTGACTGCCTGATCACTTCAGGGCTGAACAAAAGTTAAAGCCTGTTGTTAACGACATTGTCCAAATGCCTCTTAAATACTTGACAGGCTTGGGGCACTGTTGATCTCTCTAGGAAACCTATTCCAGTGTTCGACCACCATCTCAGTAAAAAAATCCTTCCTGGTGTCCAGTCTGAACCTCTCCTGGCGCAGCTTTGAACCATTCCCATCTGTCCTGTCACTGGGTACCAGGCAGCAGAGCTCAGTGCCTCCCTCGTTGCCTCCTCTGGACACATTCAAGGACCTTCACATCCTTTTTAATGGTGGGTCCTAGCACTGCCCACAGTGCTCCAGGTGAGGCTGCACCAACTCTGAATACAGTGGGAGAATCACCCCTGCTGACCGGCTGGTGATGCTGTGGCTGATGCACCCCAGGATGGGGTTTACCCTCTTGGGACACACTCCTGACTCACACAGAGCCTGCTGTCTACCAGCACCCCCAGATCCCTTTCTGCAGGGCTGCTCTCCAGGCACTCTTCTCCTAATCTATGCTTATGCCCAGCATTATTCCATCCTAGATGCAAAATCCAGCATTTGGACTTCTTACATTTCATCCCATTAATCACTGCACAATACTCTGATCTATCTAGATCCTTCTGCAGGGCATCTTGTCCCTCAAGAGAGCCAACAGCCCTCCCCCCCCCGGGGTATCTTCGTCAAACTTGTTAATGGTGGGTTTGACTCCTGCATCCAGATCACTGGTCTTGGAAGTTTTGAAGAACTTAGTAAACTGGTTTTATTGACACCTGAAATAGAAAATACTTGTTGTGCATTTGTTATCTAATCAGCTAATCTATCAGCTAAACTGCCTATTTGTGAAGGGAACCATGAGCAAATGGTACTACAATACAGAATCGGAATAAAGTAATTTAAAATATCACATGGCTCAAACCCTACTCCTTCCCATTCCAGAAGAAATATCTTGGTGCTTTTTTATTTTTCATGGGGATGTACACTGCTCCACATGTTGGGGATCCTGAACTCTCCTGGCCTTCAGTGGAATGTGAAGATATGAAACCCCTGCATGAGGCCCTTCCACAAACAGACAAAGCACATCAAATAAGTGTTCCCTACTAATACTAATAGACATTGCAAAATATGTTGCAGTATATTTAAATAAATGTAGTATATTGCAGTCATTGTTCTGATGACCTCATATTCTGCAGTCACCAGGCTGCTAGTGAAATAACTGTACAATATTTAGTTAACTCTTGAGGATACACAGGCATTCTAATGATCCGTTAGGGCTTCAGACTAACACTAGAATCAAAAAGCTTGCATGCTATGGCAAAACCAGCAGAGTTATGGATGTAAAAGATATGAATGTAAAGAATGTAAAAATGCTTCTTTGTAGGCCTACAGACATGACACAGAGCCTCCCCCCATCTAGTCCACAGAAAAAATGAGTACTACACAGACTTTTTTAGTGTGCAAGCATGTTCTGTTCTACAGTCCCAAAAGCTCAGCAATCCAAATCCCCAGAAACAGTTAACACACCACACTTGCTAAGGTCCTCAGAGATCTGATCATTGGATCCTCTTTGCTGACTGTAATAAGTAATTTTGAAAGAAACCCTTCAAAAACCCAAAAAATGTTCAGTGTTACAGTTGACATCAATTTACCTCAGTCCAGTTGCTCACTGTCCAGTCAGATGGGCACAAGATATCTCTGTTGCATGACAGATGGGTCTTTGGTTTAAGCAAGTGCTGGCACTCTGTGACAGCCAGTGCCTGCTCATCAGATCCCACGGTCTGGATACAAAGAACAGTTCGCTTCTTCTGGCCTGTTGGGCCACATGTGGTTGAACATTTCTGCCATTCTCCTGCCCACCATCTGAAAAACAGGGGGTAAGAAACATCAGAAAACAATCCATCATAAGCACAGTACAGAAAATGTCAGAGACTGCAAGAAGAACAAACTGCAATTTAAATTCAGGGTTCAGATGTAAACTTTTCCTATTAAGTCCAGATCACTCGAGCTTTCCCATCTGACTTGTCCCAGCCAATCACTACAAGATGCTGATTCTCAGACAGAAGCAGGCATCAAGTATAATGATTTTACAGTGTGTAAGAATTCACTGAGTAGATGGTCTTTCAAATCCAAATTTGAGGAACTGCTAGAAAGTTATCTATTTATCCTATTGTTTAGCTGCTTCTTATTGGTACCTCAGTACAGAGTTAACAAATGAGAATCACTGGAGGGTCTGTAATGGTAGCACAGAGGTGAAGAAGGTGGCCCCCTCATACATATCTATGCAGCCAGTATTGCACAAGTGCTCAAACTGGCCCTGTGTTACTTCCAGGAGAAGCAGCAAGGCACACAACCCCAAAAAGCAAGCTAGTCAGAGCTATGCTGTGTGCCCCCACATGAGATCACTGCCCTCCAGTGCTGCACCTCTGGGCTTAGCCTCTGCGTCTGCACTAGGATGAACTTTTCTGTACTTTTGATTCTTCATGAAGTAAAAATGAGCCTCTCTCCTGATTAAAGATGGTCTTCCATAGCACGCTATATCTAACATTTATCACTAGATGAATGATGTTTCCTCTACTACAGTATTTTCCATTGACAAAACACCTTACTGACAAGAGTCATCCCCTTTAAATTCAGTTTACCTTCAACTTTTCACAGCTTCATCCTCCTACTTCTTCTCAGGCTGACTCAGAGTGGATCAACTATCCCTCCATGATAATAAAAGAGGGCAAAAATTTATGGTTTATACTATTTGAGAAGAAACGGCAATAACCGTGACATTTGCATAAAGATTTATACTTTGAATAAAAAACAACAAAACCAAACAAGAATAATCTTTTTCCTTCTACTTCGAGTGCCCTAGGCATGAACACAGCTTCCAGCTGCTCTATAAAAAAACCTGGCCCAGCTGTAACTTTAAGCCACAAAAGCTCCTAGACATTATTACTTTTTCTTGAGTTTTTAAGCAGGTTGTGATGAAGCCTCATGCTGAAAACCAAAACAGGAACATATTTAGAAAACACCTTTCTAGACAGAAAGATGGAAAAAATTGCTTTTGGCTTACAACCAGAATTATTCTATTGTATTTTTTTCCTTTTAAAGTCAATGAACTAAGAGCAAATTAATCCCATTCTGATAAATACGAAGTCTGACATCCAGTTTTACAACAGTTTTTGTTTTCTTCACTTTCCTGACAATCCCTCTCCCCTTTCCTCTGTAGTTTCCATGTTCCTTCTCTGTTTTCTGATTAATTTATTCTTCAGTTGTAAATGAGCTGTCACTAATGAGGAAGGCACTGATATCTATTCCTAAGCATTAAAAAAAATATCCTCAGAGAAATCAAGCTGTGCACACAGCTCATTTGTGCAACCATCTGGTCTTCTCTCAGGTACCTACAGCTACCTTCCCTTTAGTTATGTATACACATCATATTTCCTTTTAAATTACCTGAGAAGTCCTTTGGGGCACAGACTGCTTTGCTACATGCTCTAGAACCCAGCCCACTGCCACCACTACCCTGACTGAGGCCTCTGGAATAAAAGAACAAATTATTTTTCTCCATCTCCTGCCTTTCTCTGGGTTGTTTCTTGATCTTCCAGTCTTCTTTAAACAACAGAGGAAAACTAACAAGCCATTAAAGAGTGAGCATGCCTCAGCAAAACACAGCAATAAAAAAGAGAAAAATATATTATAAATATATTATAATACATATTATGTCCAGTTGGAAACCAGTAACAAGTGGTGTCCCTCGGGGATTGGTGTTGGGACTGGTCTTGTTCAACATCTTTGTGACATGGACAGTGGGATTGAGTGCGCCCTCAGCAAGTTTGCTGATGACACCAAGCTGTGTGGTTCAGTTGATACGCTGGAGGGAAGGAATGCCATTCAGAGGGACCTTGACATGCTTGTGAGGTGGGCTGATGCCAACCTTATGAAATTTAACCATGCCAAGTGCAAGGTCCTACACCTGGACTGGAGCAATCTCAGGCAAAGCTACAGGTTGGGAAAAGAAGAGATTCAGAGCAGCCCTGTGGAGAAGGACTTAGTGTGTTGGTTGATGAGAAACTGAACATGAGCCGACTTCAGTGTGTGCTTGCAGCCCAGAAAGCCAACCGTATCCTGGGCTGCATCAAAAGGAGCATGACCAGCAGCAGGTCGAAGGAGGTGATCCTGCCCCTTTACTCTGCTCTTATGAGACCTCACTTGGAGTATTGTGTGCAGTTCTGGTGTCCTCAACATAAGAAGGACATGGAACTGTTGGAACAAGTCCGGAGGAGGGCCACGAGTATAAACAAGGCAGCTGGAGCACCTCTCATGTAAAGACAGGCTGAGAAAGTTGGGGCTGTTCAGCCTGGAGAAGTTGTGTGGAGACCTCATAGCAGCCTTCCAGTATCTGAAGGGGGCCTACAAGGATGCTGGGGAGGGACTCTTCATTAGGGACTGTAGTGATAGGACAAGGGGTAATGGGTTCAAACTTAAACAGGGGAAGTTTAGATTGAATATAAGGAAGAAGTTCTTTACTGTGAGGGTGGTGAGGCACTGGAATGGGTTTCCCAGGGAAGTTGTGAATGCTCCATCCCTGGCGGTGTTCAAGGCCAGGCTGGACAGAGCCTTGGGTGACAAGGTTTAGTTAGAGGTGTCCCTGCCTATGGCAGGGGGTTGGAACTAGATGATTTTATTGGAACTAGATGATCTTAAGGTCCTTTCCAACCCTAACTATTCTATGATTCTATGATTCTATATTATCACAACCTGGATAAATTAATTTCAGGGTTGTTTTCATCTCTTGCATCTTTCCAATTCTATAAATTCTAGTATCTTGTAAATCACTGACACTTCAGCACAAACGCAAATTGAAGTATGTGATATTGCCCTATTAATTTTAATGGAACCAATCTATAGATTTTAATGGAACCAATCTATAGACATGCTAAGCTGACACCCTCTCCTTCACCATTTTCAAATGGCTATAAGTGAGGGTTCGGGTTTATTTATTATTTCAGGTTTAAACACAGAACCCCTAACAGTAAATTATCAGAGGTCACTACAGAACTTATCTTGATCAGCAGTAATGGTGCTTGATTAACTATTACACACAAAACATTTTTTAAATTCACTGAAGAAAGCAAGTTAGGAAATCCCAGAGTAAAGATGTTATGCTATTGCACCTTTATAGTGGTTAGTCTTAAATTATGTTTAGTCATGTGACTTTTTCTAGAGAGTTCTTCCTCCTTCAGTGCAGGTAACAGATGCTACTGGTGGAGCCAAGTAGTTAATTGTTGAACAGCATGTTTACCATACACACTGCAAAAAAACTTGCTCTGACTGACAGTTTATCCTTATCAGTAACTGGAGGTTTTGATGATGAATTTTCCCATTTCCATTCTAGGGTACATACATGTGCCTTAAACACTCAAACATGAGAAACTCAACATGGAAGCACATGCACTCTTGTCTCTCCATGGTCCCCTGCACTGAGGACTTTCAAACTGCAGCATCCCTAACCAAAGGGAAAGAAAGGCAAAACATGGCTGGCAGAATATCTACCATGCATTTGTCTGTCCTGATACAGGATGCTCCAAAGCAGGTCCTGGAACACACATAAGGGACCAGCACCTGCTTTGTTAATCCTATTTATCTTGGAGGTTCTGCTATATCCTTGCAATGTAAGGCATAACCAAAAGTGGAGGTGACTGCTGAGCACACATCCAGAATTGACATGGCAATTTGGCATCCAAACATGGAAGCTCTAAATTGAAATGACTTCCCAGCTGTAAGCTGAAGAGAGGGGGGTGCTGCCAGACAGACTTAGCTTTGGGGAACTTATAAGCAAAGGCTTTCTTTAGATCACTCATATAGAGGGATGCTTGACAGAAAAGTATATGGGGAAGAAAACTAGTGGGTTGCTGTGCTGATTTTGGTGAGACTGCAACAGCTGGTGGAAACTGAAGCCTTGTAAGAGTTGCCATCCTGCACTAGTTCCTACCCTGGTTTCTGATGGCATTTACCACCACTGCAACTGAGTACTTCTTAAATATTAATTCATCACCTGATCCCTGCAAAGTGACAGGACTGTCTTATCTCCACAAGCAGGCACAGCATGGAAAGATAGTGGTAACAGACAAGCGAGCAAAATGCTTGATTTGGGTAATTAATACATGTGAGCCCATGTTAAAAATAACCTCAGTTAGTTTTCAGCTGCAGCTGAGTTCTCAGCTATTCTGCAGTCCAGCCTGGAACTATGGTAGGGAGAAAATCTGATTCTTCCAGGTGGCGTTCAGCTGCCTTAAATGGTTCCTATCTCTTTTCCTCACACACTGAGTTTCCAAGGTCTGTAACAATTAAGCCAAGACACAACATCCTTGTCCATACAGTTCTCATCTATACCTAGATGATGTGTGCTGAATGAGGTGTGGAATCTGTTGAAAAAGTATAATGGGATTTCGGAAGCAAATTTGCTCTATTCATGCCTACTGGGTTGAATGTTCCCTCTCTCCCACTGTATTGTGTCACACCTAAAGGAAGATTGTCTTCTTTCACTATGGCACTGATTTGCACTCTATGTATTATTATAGAACCAAGATTTCCTATTCTCATGCTGTTGGAGTCTACTAAGTAGTCTGGAAGCAGGACAATACAGTAATAACAGATAAAAACCAGAAGATCCCAAGTACTTGTAGAATTATCTATTTATGGTAACTGTTCAAGTGGGTAGTCAGCTTAAAAATGCTCCAGACAATTTTCTGTAAGGGGAGAGCAAACCTTTTATTCAGAATACTATAAGTAGTTAAAATCTCACTCTTTCTCTTCAAGTAGTATCTATTAATTTTTATTATTAACACCCACGGTGCTGAAAACCTGCCTACCAAAGAAACATGTAATTGGAAACCATATTCCATAGTATAACATGAAAAAAATCATACATTTACGCTACTACCTCACTGCACCCTAGCTAAGCAATATCACGTAGGTTCTACTTGAGTACGGTATTTTAACTCTCAGCTGTTCAGCCATGTTCGTTTTGCTCTGAGTCAACATGTGACATACATGTTTTGTGACATTTTAAGTATTTTGTTTATCACCAGATTCTTTTAGCAGAAAGTAAGGGGAAAATAAATGCAGACCAGCTAACAAACAAGCATGTTAAGACTCGAACGTCTCAGAAATCTGTCACTGCAACAGTTTATAATTAACTTCCTGAAATGGATTAATGAGATAAGATCTGGTTTGTGAGAGTTGCAGACATTATAGTAACGCTATTCTTTGGCTGTAGCTACTGTTTGATAAATATTCTAATTATGATTTAGTGGCTATATTCACTAATATTAGTAGCTATATTCATCACAGCGTGTTTTCCATCAGTGGGATTTAGCAGATCATAGGAAGGAGGGTTATGCAAGAGAACTTCCTTCTTTTTCCAGATAAGATCCTCCCACAAAGAACCTGGTTCACTGCTGGGATGTGCAAGATCACCTAACAGTTTGAGTTCTGTGGCTGCAGCAGTAACTAAGGGTCCCATGCACTGCTGTGTTTAATAGTACTGTCCTAAACTCTAGCACAGAATTTAGCTACCTCTCTACAGAACACTTAGTCTTTGGGAGCTTCACATGAGCACTTTCTGAATAATGCAGTCACCTAGAACAAACAGGACAAATTGAGCTCATTTGGAACTTTGGAATAACCAGCACAGTTTATACTTGCTATAAATAAAAAACAACCCCATGTATGTGGGCAGCCTCAGCGCTTAACGAATCACCTAGTTAATAATTTTATCTACTATCAATTGATTTCCTATCAATCTACAAAGAATTCTGAAATGATGGTAGTTTATGCTTTTAACAGTCATTTATAGGTGCTGCAAGCGCAAAGACGCAATTCCAAGAGCAGGCATCATATTCTGTTAAGAGAATACTTAGAAACAACTAATTTAACCAACATCCGTGCAGAATTCTTTACATTTAAGCTTGATGAAATTCATTGCTGGCAAATGTAACAAAATACATTGTAAGGGAATCACTGTAATGACTTTTATTTCTTACTGATTTAACTAGAATTACCTGGGAAAGACTCATATACCATTGCAAACAGCACATAAACAATTTCTGAAGACAACAGAAGAACAAAGCAAGATGCTCTGGTACCTAAAGCATGAAAGTAAACCCAATATTGATTCCTTCCATAAACTTGTGCGTATTTTACAAGCCCACACTTCTCCTATCACCTGGAATGTTTGCTGTAGTCAGTCTTCCTCACCCTACTTGCTAAAATGGTAGAACAGAAAAAAACAGGTATGAAAACAAATTAAATTAATGTTATGGGAATAGAAACATAATTCCAGTGTGATCACAGAATGAAGAAAGATGTTCTTTGCTGAAAGGAAAAAATGAGGATGGACATGATAAAAAGATGCCAAATAATAAAGAACGTATAATATTTAGTTACAGAAGAGGACATTTCCAAGCATCCTCCCTCACAAAACTGACAAATGAGTACTAAAACCCACTGAAAAACAGCACCAAAAGGCTTAAAAAAAAACCCTCTCTGAAAGTTAGTTTTTGGTATACACAGAAATACCTTATCACTTTAGCTAAGAAAGGAATACAATTTTTAAAATAAGAAAAAAATTATATAGTTTTCAGGAACACCTGCAATTAAACTGAACAAAAATACTACCTATACTGATGAGAGAGCAATCTCTGCCATTTTCAGCACAGACAGCTCAGTAACTTATATGAGAGACCTCTTAGAGCAGCTCACTCCTAATTTGTCCATTACCGGGTTGCTGACACCTTGCTCTGAAATGGTTGGGAGCTCTCACCCATAGATACCACACTAACCTGGTACTACAAATATTTTGTTTTGAATAAGGCTGCTATTTAAAACTACCAGAGCCCTCCCAGCATCTGTTACCTGGGTGGACAGTCTTTCTCGTAGCACTTCTTTTGCCGTCCATTTGGCTGTGTTGCTGGGTCACAGAAGGAGTTTTTGATGGCTCCGCTTCCCTTCCGCATGCAGTGGGCAATCTGGCGTCGCACCCCTGCAACAGAAAGACACAAAGACATAGAACAGTAATCCCTGTAGGCTGGGTATTTGCTGCAGAAATCCTCAAGGATGGGGAGTACACATCAGTCATACTCCACATCCCAGAATGCAGTAATAGCTGTCAAAGTCAGTTCCGCTGAATGTCTGAACTAAGGCAAGCAGGAACATCCTTTTACAAAGCTGACAAGAAGTTAAGCAAAGCTATTCTGGATCAGATAACTCATAGAAAGCATCTTCCTTAATCTCAGTTTAGTTTGTCAGACTCAAAAAAGGGCTCCTGCAGGCCCTGACGCAGGTTGAAAGAGCTATGAATGGTTTTTGGACTACCCACAGATAATAGGCAACACAGCAGCATCAGGCTATTTATGGTGAGTGTATTTTTGCTGGTGTTTCTGTACTTCTGGGAAGACTGTTTAAGCAGAATACAAACTGGACTATATGAGCAAAACTAAGAACAGTAATCCACAGATGATAATACTTGGGGAATATGAACTTATGTTCCTCTATACGGCAATGTCCCCATATGTTCTGGCTTTGGCTGAGACAGAAAATTAACCCTAACCCAGATGAAGCCAGGACACCATAAATGGCAATTAAAATGTATTTCCTAAAATTCCATGCTAGCATAATGGCTATCCTGCTTTAAGTAATTTTACAGCCTTCAATTTTTCTCTTCTCTCAAAAAAAAATTAACAATCTACTTACAAAAATAAATACAGAAAAAACAGAATACAAGCTCTAATACTAGGAAATCTAAAGCTAGCAACAGAGGTAACTTGTCGTGAGAGAATGAAGCATGGACTGTGTGTGTGAAGGGGAAGGTTGCAGTCAGATATTACTGAAAAAGTCCTCAACAACAAAGTAAACTTCAATTCATATTTGGGTCATTCCACAGAAGTGGATGGAGACCTGTATCCCTTTTTTTAGCACCCCAGGACATCAGGTATGTAAGGAAATGTTACAGCTTTTAGAGTTCTTTCACACTTGTGACTGAGACACGTAAGACAACTATGGACAACAGTACAGTGGTTGATGACTGAGACTCCTCTAATCATACATGAAGGTTGATTAACTAAAACAAGTGTTAGTTTCACCTACAAGAGAGAATTAAGGGACGTCAGACCTGTGCTCCATTAATACCCTTTGCTGAAGCTTCCAAGCTTCAGCGTAGATTATGTGGAAGCAGCTGCATGACTGCAGCATGGCTGGAAATGGCACTCTCCTATTCCTAGGTGACTTTAAACAGCAAAAAGCTTGTTTAGTGCAGGTCTCCCAGGGAGCAGCACTTTCTTTTATGGTAAGAAAAATCTAACTGGAATAGTAAGCAACCTTCCTGCTAGTAAATAAAGCAGTTCATAGAATTATGTTTCTATCCCTTTCAAAATCAAGATATGTTGCTGTTACAAATGCAAATAAGAACTGTTTAGGTTTGATACATTTTTTAGTGCCAATTCAGCTGCTTTAATTCACTTTAAAACCACTATAAACTTTTGCAAATGTTTTGTTTTGAGGCTGTCCGTTCTCATAAAATATTTGCTGATTGCTGGCATCAATAAATTAACTTATTCACACAAACAATTTTTATTATGGAAGTTATGTGGACTCTCACTGCAGTTTCAAAATTTGCGAAGTCCTGGGGTGGATGTACATATTTAAAGAAGATATAAATGCACAGTTTTTTCATCATGACTGTGTACAGTTGAGTTCCAAAAAGCTGGGAGGAATCCTACACGCATATATTGATACACACATATATATGTAGTTATACATATAGTGACATAACAAATCACTTGTTTCTTCATCTTGAGCAAGCTGAACTAGAAAATATTGCAGAAATAGAAAACCAGGCACCTCGCACTGACCCTGCCCTACCAAACATTTACGGAGATACCTAACTTAAATGTGTAATATCCTATTTAAGCCACACATTAAAAATCCTAAATATATCTAAAAATCAGTGAGATTTGAAATCTAAACTCCATTTCTACATGCTCTGGGAAGGTAGCTGTTTTCCTCCCTTCACCTCTTTCACATCTCTCTGATCTCAGCGCTAGCTAGTCCACAGCTGTTTTGCATGCACAAAGATACTGGCTGTATTCATCAGGACACTGTCCCTTGGTCATTATACCACTGTAAAGATCCTGCTTTCTCCTCTGGAGTGGGAACACCCCATTCCTTTCTACTCACCTCAGCACTCATTTGTAGCCCTTCCCACACCCATGTTTTCTCTACAGAGAAGTGTACCATTACAGTTGTGTTAAGTGGTACCAATTAATCCCTAATGCAGGAGTTTTTAGATGGTAGGTTGACCCACTGGGCTCCTAATTTCTCTCTTAATTTGGGAAAAAAGCTGCCAATTTAAAATTATTTGGATGTGGAAGGGTTTTGGAACAGAGATTAGGAATCTGTTGGCTGCATACCCCTCAGCTTGGGCAAAAGTAAGGCTGAGTAGAATAGAAAGTAAGGATCGGAAGCAAACATACAAAATGCGTATGCAAGAGAGCATACCTGATTTTAAAACTAATTTGAACACACAATTAACAAAGCTGTAGATGCTCTGCAAGGATTTCAGTTTGTATCTGAATGAAAAAAAAAATTATTCAATGCAAGCACAGTTTACGTACACAATGAAAAATCCAGTCTTAGAATCATAGAACAGTTAGGGTTGGAAAGGACCTTAAGATCATCTAGTTCCAATACCCTGCCATAGGCAGGGACACCTCACACTAAACCATGTCACACACGGCTCTGTCCAACCTGGCCTTGAACACTGCCAGGGATGGAGCATTCACAAATTCCCTGGGAAACCCATTCCAGTGCCTCACCACCCTTACAGTAAAGAACTTCTTCCTTATATTCAATATAAACTTCCCCTGTTTAAGTTTTAACCCATTACCCCTTGTCCTATCACTACAGTCCCTAATGAATAGTCCTTCCCCAGCATCCCTATTAGCCCCTTAACATTCTTGGTGTTATAAAATTTAGGTCCATAACAGTGAAGGAAAAGATAGTGACCTTTGTTTCCTAAAATCAATGCTACAAGTTTGGTACTACATATTAGTTCAGAAACACCTGGAGGTAAATTTGCAAAGTAGCCCTGACTAACAGTTGTGAAGGATTTAGAGAGCACAGAACAATTAACCTCTACAGTTATTCTGCAGAGCTTTGAGAATTTGCCAATTATTGACGTTATCTATGGAAAAGTAAATTCTTGAGAATGCCTAGTATGAACTCCCATAGTTGCAGCTGTGCTGTGCTTTGCTTCTTATTACGTTCAATGCCACTCATAGCTAGTTCTAAGAAACATGATTAAAGCCTTTATGCAAGGATGAAGGACTTATAATTTCTACTGGACCATTATTTAAATAAAAAACAATAGGTAGCTGGTCCAGAAAAAAACTCAGTGAAATGTGTATGTTAACCTTCCTATAAAAACAGCTTAAGGGCTTTACAATGCTGTCTTGACAGTAGGCTCTGAAGGGACAGGCTCTTGGCCAGAGGGTGCAGCAGTTTGCAAGACACTGTCTGGTGTACTCACATACTGACTGTAAAGTAATTTCTGTCTGCATAAAGCAAACAGCAGGCAGAGAGACAAAGTGCCCTACAGTGAGGACACAGCAAGGCTTATGATTTTTAATATAACCTATCCTCTTCAGCATTTGTTTGCCATGAAATGGGTTGCAATGTAATTACTAAACTACCTTCTACATTACGAATGGATATCAGGTATTGCAATGGGTTCTCTTTTCCCTGCATTCAGCATTAGAAAACATTGATTTTTCAGACAATATTTTTTCCCTGTTAAATGGTGTTATTGTAGACTGGCCAAAACCAGTCTTTAAGACTACAAAAGACAGGGGTAGATAAAAGAAATGAAGGAAAACTTGAGCACATTTGCACCTTTTCTTTCTCAGTTGCAATGGAGTTCAGGAAGCATATAGGTGAGGGCAAGAGACCAAGAATTTGTAGGAAAATATCTTCAGGGATCTGCCCTGAGTTAATCCTAAGAAGGAACAGCTTCACCCTATAAAGACATTAGTCATCCCTGGGGCTTTTTCCAGGTTTGCTTCCCTTGAATAAGGAGCTGTATCACAGGGCTAAAACTGTATTTTTTATCTTAAGAGAGAGATGAGGCTTTCCTGCATAAGATAATTTCTATGTCCGTAGCCCCATTCATCACCCTTAGCTTCACCCTGTTGGCTCCAGAAAGCATTTGTTCATGTTTTCCTGATCTCTGTGCTACAACAGGCCAAAGTGACCTTAGATTTACTGCTGCCACACTGGCGGATTGTTATGAGAGGCCCTATGCTGAATCTTTAGGTTAGGTCCAGGTTTCACTTTTCTTGGCCCTCCCTTTTATCCTGAAAAAGAATTGGTTTATTATTTATCAAATGATCATGGCAAAATTCTTTGAAGGTTATTTTACTTTAGTCTAAATATATGCAACATTTTTATATCGACCCCCACTGCAAGCTTTTCAGTAGACTTGTCATGCAGCACACCCATCGAAGATGATCTTGCCTACTTCGGTATACTTTTATCTCACAGACTTTTCAAAACTCTTCAAATGTCTGAGATTTGGCGCAGCGGGTCTGTTACTGCCAACGGCAATAAATTCTGAATCTAAACAGAGTGTATGTTCAGATAAAATCAATATCATCATTCAAAGTCAGAAGGAAATTCTGTGGAAGTCAGAGAAAAGTGTTGCTTAATCCAGCAATACTGGGAACATTCTATTCTGCCCTTATTCTGCCACCTGGGGCCTAAACTGAACTGAACAAAATAATGCATAACTATGTGAGATTTTCTGGTTCTAGGTCAAAAATCATTACCATGCCCATACTCCCTGCTAAAAGTAGCAAGACTTTAGAGTTTCCAAATTTCCATAATGATGATGAGGTAATATTTTCCAAATGCACCTTCCATACTGCTCCAGGTATTTTTGCTCTGACCCTCCGGGCATAAATCTTCTATATTGCTGCACCAGTGTGGTGCTTAGGAGGGCCACCTAGCTCAGATTCAGGGCCAATCTAATATGACAACAATACCACTGGTCCACATTCAGTCATCCCAGGGTACACCAGATTAAGCATTGGGTACCTACAGAAAACTGCAGACAGATTGTAATATCAGAGCTCCCCTGGTTCGAGTCATGCACTGGAGCTCTGTGCTAGGGCTTCTTTTTTCTGGGCAGGAAGTAAGCAACAAAACCCTAAATGCATCATATATTAGCAGATTTCAGCCTCTTTTAGACTTTTTCAGTTAATTTTAGAAATGTCTGTATCTCAGATGAAAGACAGCAAAGAGTCTATTAATTTGTTTTCTCCTGTACATGCAGGAATGCAGAGAACTGGGAAGGTTTCTATGCTGTTTTTGAACTACAATGCACCTCTTGGCTCCCCTGCTCCCCTGCCATCTCATGTCGGTAATTCCACAGTCTTGCCTGAAAAATACCATTTTTGCTCATGCAAAGCAAAAGCCAGTGTGCTCAACAAACATGTATTAAGAACCCAAAGACAGCAATCAGGAGAAGCCATTTATTAAATAAAAACTGAAACACATGTGTCTTATTTAAATAATGCATGTGGCTGCTAGAAATCAAAGCCAAGTCACACAGCTTTTTAGCAAGAAGCTAGTAACTGGGAATATCATTTACTTAATGAGAAACAGTTCTGGGAAAAGTGCAGCTGATGTAAAAAACCCAAAAAACCCAAACCAAACAAGCAAAACCCACAAAAAACCCCAAACAAAACCAACCAAACAAAAAAAACATATCAACCCAAACCCCAAAGAACCCACCAGAACAACATAATAAACAGCCTAGTAAGGTTCCCCTTCCTCCCCCACTTCTGTTCTCATGCCAATTGTTACATTAAACACTATTCACAACTGGGTATCAGAACTGAAACATGCAATAAACATGCAACAAAGGAAACACTTGTTTTAGGTACCTATTTAAATAAAATGTTGGCTTTTTTCTGTTAAACAGAAGGCACGTATTGTTTTGTGACAGACTTTTTGCAAACAACCAAACAATAAACACCAAAAATCCACCACAAACAAAAACCCACAAACCCCCCACAAATATCTGCACAAACATATATATATATATGGATGTACAAATATCTTTGTAATATGCCTTATATATATATATTTTTATAATATAGGAATGTTATTGGAATGGGGTAATTTACACTACTATTCTAAAATTCTTCTTCTAATCTAAGATTAAGGGCATATAAAGCCCTTTGTTCAGACTACTGAAATTGCATTATTATAGTGCCTTCCCTGACAGGAAAGATGAATAAACTGTTATTTCTGTAATCAACACTGCTTCTAGACTCCCACTGAGATTTGTTACATTTGTTTGTCTTTTTGTTTCCTTCTGGAAAGTAGTTAATGAAAGCAATAATTATCAAAAAACACTGGCAATACCCTATCATTAGAAAGAGAAAAGGCTTGTTTTTTGTTGTATGTCCAATGACTGTAACATTAATCTTCTACTGTTCTCTACAGTTTTCACACAGACAGTGAAAGGACAAGGTTCCCAGCCTATCTCCAACACTCTTCTTCTGTCTGGTGAAACTTAAGAACGAATTCAGATAGAAGGCTTCAATCTTTTCTCCCCAAATACAGACTTCCTTTCACACACATTCTTTTTCATCTTTTAAATATCATTCCTGCAAAGGATGGATAAAAACCTTTAACTTTTGTAAAGAATCCTTCAGTCTTTTTATCATTATTAATCTACAGCAAGCATTAGCTTCATCTCACTGGCCTGTTAACTACTTTAAATAAAGTTTTCCTGCTAGCATTTTCTGTCTATTACCAAAGGCAAACTTCTGTTTCCAGATCCTACTTCATGGTTGTCACTCTACTTTTCTGGTTTAACGTGCTGCACAGAACTACATAAAACTGCAGCTGTGCCAAAGCCACCGTACTGAGTGACAAAGACATGTAAGTTCTGAAGACTGATTTAAAGAAAGTACTTATTGAGATATGCCCAAAACACATTGCTGCTTATCAAGGCAGGAGAAAAATGAAGAACAATTTTTGTAGCTGACATATTGGAAAGACTCGGTAGGGAAACTAGCGTAGGTCATAGATTAGGAAGTGCTGGAAAACATGGTTACTGTGAAAAATATTGACAACAAATTATAAAGAAAACTGTAGTCTTTCATTTTGGTTGACAGAGGTTGAGAATTTCACAGCAGGTGTTACAGAAACCTACTTGCCTTAAATGATTTAATAACATTTTATTTTAAAGTCAAAATACATTATTGTGACCATGTGATTGCGTTTCCTACCAAATTTGGATTAAAGAACCTTACCTCTTTGAGGATGATGTCTAGATAACTTAAAGATAAGATCTGCCAGTTATGAAGACAAACAGTAATAGAAAAAGGAAGTGAAGAATTACCTCTTCCACAGGTAACACTGCAGGCTGTCCAGTCGCCATATTGCCAAAAATACTCTGGCTCTCCAATCTCATTCTCATGACTTTCTTCTTTACGTACAGTATACTCATACTTGATTCCAGGATTAGTTTCTTGAAAAAGTAGCTGGAAAATGAGTGTGGTTTATTTAATTACTCATGATACTAACAAGCTACTGGCCCCAAGCGTTCAAAGCATCAAAACAGAAGAATCTTAAAGCAGCCCATTTTGGAGCCTACTATGAGTTCAGAAAAGCAGGCTAGCAAAAATCACATTTGTGTGCTGATATTGGCATACATGTATCTTTCTAAGACACAGTTATTTCTCACGCACTTTTGCAAGCAGTAAGTGGGAGGAAGTGGGTCAGCATAATTGGTATCCTATTAACTGTGAGAAAAGATATGGCAAAGACCACCCAGGGCACTGCCTAAATGTGCTGCTGATTTAAAGACATTGCCTATCACCATTGTAAATTATAATTTTCCTACCCTTCCGACATAGCTGTTACAAAACAACCACGAGGTCAGTAAATTTCAGACTTTATTCAGACACTTCCTGAATATTAATTCTAGTGTTTCTGGATTAAGAAGGAAAATTGCCGTTAAGAACAGCCACACTAAAAAGTCATCATTTGGTTGATGAGAGGGAGAAAAGAAAAACATCGGTTGGACTTGATGATCTTAGAAGTTTTTTCCAACCTTGTTGATTCTATGATTCTGTGATCACCAAGGGAAAGAAGTCTTCAGCAATGAACTTCCACTCTTCATCCTAACTGTTTCCTTGACAAGCGTTATTGACAGCAAAGATCTGATCTTGTCATCGGACAAAGTGTGAAAGTAATTACCATCACACCCCTAACAGTTCTAACTGCATCGTGGATATATGGGTAAGAAAGGCAAGAAAGATATATTCAGCGAACAAAGGGTAAATTTTTACAGAATTAACAGGAGCTGGTTATGTTAGAATCTATAAAGCAACATAAGAGAAACAAAATGGAGCAATCTCAGCGGATGGTAAATGGATCTATTCCACCAACCATAAATGTCCATCTGTATAATGCTGCATTTTCTTGGTCAGCGCAAGCTGCCACTGTTCTCAGCCTTCCCTAGTTCTCACTGTTCGCAGCCTGACAGCAGCTCCCTTTTTGTAATAAACAGTTACTGAGTTTGGCTCACATCACAGCCACGTGTTGGTCTAACCTGGCACAAGAGACAAGGAAGCTTCAGCATAGGACTGACAAACTACAGGTAGCAGGATCCCTATCCTAGTGGCAGTACTGGATTATGCCAGCTTGTAAGAATCATAAGACTGTGGCACTGGACATCTGTTTTCAGGCAGGATGAACAACCCTCTCAATTAATGTGTTTATTTCTCTCCAAAACAGCTCAGCTGATTTTTGCAAGGTAGTATGCTATTAGACTGGTTTACAGAAAAATATACGTATTTTCCCAGCCTCAGTTTCAGAGCCCCAGCACATTCTGCTGCCATCCAAAACCAGCAAGTTCTGTGGTGATCCCCTATTTACCTGAATCCATATTGATTCATTGGTGGGTCCTGGAGCAGTCAGATTTTCTAGATCCCCTGTTCTGTCATACTGAAATATCGTGCCTGCCACTTTGTACTCCCCATTCCACTGGATGATAAAACCTCCATTCAGGTAATATTTTTCTGGGTCTTTGCTTCGCACAGCAAGGAAGTTTCCTGCTTCCGCAACTTCCATGACTTTGATTCCCCTTGCACCTTTCGGAATTAGCCCAATATCAACATATCCTAAGATACAAGAAAGGTTCACAGAGATGAGTAACAAAGATACCATCACATTTTACTTATGTAGAAGATTATTAAAATTAGAACTTTGCCTAAAAATATATACAAATGTGCTATCACAGAGCTTGCATTTCAGCCAGTTAATAGTGTGACTTTCCAAATCAGGTTTTCTAGTTTCAGCTGGGGAACACAAATAAGCATTCTGTTTAGGCAATGACAGTGGCATTTAGAAGGGACATGGAAGTGAATGATTTTCTGAGCTGCACCAGGGGAAATCTACCCCGCAGCTGAGCATCAGCATCTCCACAACCATACCCAAGGGCTCTGGCATACCACAGTGTGAGTCATCTGGAGAAATGCCAGGGAGTCCCAGCAAGTTACATTCTGTTGTGAGAAAGGCTTTTCCAATTTGCAAAGAATGTTTTCATCTGTCACTAGTGCCCTGGTATGTTCATAATTACATGTACCTTCTCTTCAGTCATTTAATTTCTCCATGACTGTTTCACATAGACAGCCTTGCTACAAAAAAAAATAAATCAATGCTATTCAAACACCTCCAATTACTACGACCAGTTGAACACATTTTCATAAACTACTGATATCCATAAGGAAGTTCAACAGCTCTTCATGTATAAAATTGTCTACAAAACCAGATTTTTAGTATGTGCACCTTACAGAATTTTGTTTGTACCACAGGCAATATCAGGCTCTGTTCTTCTCACCTTACAGGGAACTGCTACTGCTACTGCTACTGAACTGTAAAAATAGGAAGTTCACATAGCAATTTGAACAGAAACTCTGATGGCTTTCTTGGTATCACTCTTGGCTGGGCTTTAAGAATTGGATGGATGACAGCTCTGTAAGCAGGTGTTCTGGGAGTGTGAGTTGCAGTTTTTCCTGGTTTACTTCAGGATTGGAATATATGCTGTATATACTTACATACTGTACAACAACCTACTGTCATAAATAAGTGTCCCAAAGTCTTTACCTTCTGAATTTCCTTGCAGCTATTTTGTGGGATAATAAATATTGGTTCTAATGTCTAATGTGTCATTTATTGCACAACAAAAGGATGTGTCTACCTCAGACTCTTCTTCATTATATTAACAACATATAACTCTACCGCCCCCCGGCAATTAAGGTTCAAGAGGGAGAGTTCTCAGGATGCCAACTTCTGCAAGTTTCCCAGACTGTAGAAACCTAACTTTTCAGTATTTCGTAAGTGAAGGGAATGACAATATCTGCAGGGTAACTTCTATTATAACTGCTTCTATTACAGAAAACCAGTGGTCTAGGTCTATTACAAATATCCAAGGTATGATGATTCCCCCAAATGTATTCATTTAGATGAGTTATAAACATAGTGTGTGACCATGTAACTAAAGACTTGATTAGAAGGCTTACTCACAAGTCAGCCAAATTAACAAAGGATGGAAAATCTCAATTGTCTCACATCCTCACAGTTTAGCTTTGCAATGTTGGTGTCCTTTTCCAGAAGAGTTTTTGGTTGGCGTGTTTTGGGTTTTTTTTGGCTTTTTTTTTAAATATAATTAGAATAACATTTGTTCAAATCACAAAGTATAAAAACAGTAAAATATGTTTTTATTTCTATTGTAGCATAAAATCTGTATCCTTGGAAGTTTTTGAGTTTTTGCATAATTATGTTTGTCTGAGTCATCTGCTATTGCTCATAAACCTGATTTTAAACGTATTGCAACTGTCTGGTCATAGATATTATATTTGCTCAGTGTGGCACACTCACTTTTCCCTGGCTCTTGCTTTTTTGACTACCTAAATTTCCTCATGATTCCCCAGAACCTCAGACTAATTCCCAATGAATGTTATCTGCTTTTGAAAGCAAACCTAATCAGTAGCCAGCTTCTGAGTTTGTCACTCAACACAATAAATTTTTGTTTAAAATTATATGGATGACATTTATATAATTATTCATGGTTATATGGTTTCATCTGATAAGGATCTAGAGATCTGAGGTTCAATAACAGTCAAAATGTCAGCTAACTAACCTGCCGTGCTCATTAAATCATGGAGCATCCATATTGTGGGTGCTATCACACACCTGTGACATGGCAATTCTCAGACACTAATGATCTCTCCCTTTTTAATTAAAATCAAATCTTTATGCTCCTAACATGGACAAGAGTACAACATGAATAAATTCATGCAACCCTTGTTGTAGGCACAGCTCTATCAGCACTGAAGAACTTGTTTCTCTTTTCCCATTACTGCGAGAGAGGAGTATTTCACTCCAGTTGTTGGCACAGTATTGCAGACCAGATGATAATCAGATCTGGCTATTTCTCCTTATCACAACAACTTCCATCCTGCTCTGCACTTTACGGTTTCTGAAATTCTGTCTTAAAAATACATTCCTGAGGCATGATTTTTCTCTAAGCCAGGCTCTAGACACTACCATAAGAACATCACATGGAAAATAGCGCAGGCTCCTGGTGGCATACCGGGTTTGCAAGTCAAGGTATGGTTGCATACAGCTTCCAGAGGGAGCTCTGCAGTGTACGATGGTAATGGGAAAAAAAAATAAATCATAGTCTAGAGACAGTGAGGATCGCCTAAGCGAGGATCCAGGATCAACATTTGCATCACCACTATGCCCAGACTCCATCTCACAGTTAGGTTCAGGCATGTGCCAAATCTCTGTGTGCACTTTAGTTCCATGAAAAGGAAACATGTAGCAGGGAGACCACAGCAGACGTTGATCAGGTGCCAGCCAGGTTGGTGAGGAGATAATGGGACAAGATAAACCTCCAGGTTAGGGTGAGCACAGCCACAGTTTTCTTGTTTGCCCATCACTGCTAGAATTTCGCCTTTCACAAACACACGGGTGAGGACAGCACAATTACCCATCCTTCTGACCACCACTGGTTACCTAGCTTCTCCTCCTTCCCAGGCAGATCCCTTTGTCTCATACTCACATCCTCATTTCCCCTTTTTGTTATCCATTTAATACACACTCCCTGCACTTGCACATTCCTACACCTGTATCCCTTGTGCCTTTTTCCTACTCCAACACTTCCCATCCAGCAACACAATTTATTCTCCTTCCAAAAGAGTTTCCACACTCCGCAAACATTCTGCTGCACACAGTACCTGTATACACATTTTGCTGTACACAGTTCTGCTGAACTACTCCTTCACAGTTATCACAACACTGGTAAGAACAAGGATTTAGTTTAATTTAGTTCATTAGGACTAGTATTTTTTTAAATACTCTACCTCAAAATAAAAGCTAAATGACTTCTACCTTAACAACAGGAGAGCTGTGACTTCTTTGACCAGGCATAACCTTGCTTTTTGACGGCCGCTCATGTTGCAGCCTTTCTGCTGTAAGAGTTCAGATGCAGCAGCTTAAAAGATTTCAAACAAAACTGAAAACGAGCTGCAACCCAGGTACTTGCTAATATTAATGCCAACAGCCAAGACCGTTTGTGCACAACAGACCTCTGATTTGTTTTCTATCATGAAACTGTAATGGAATCCATTATACAGATGATACTGCCATTCCTTTGGTTGTTTTGGGACCCCCTTGACTGCTATTCCCATTTTGCATCTATGGGAAAGACAAATGATTTTTTTAAAAAATACAAGTAATAATAAAATATAAAAATATTTTTAAACCTTTCTTTCTGAGCACGAGGCAGGAAGACTTCAGGTAAAAGTGATCACCCTGCCCTGCAGTGTAAGGCTGCATTATTAAAACCTTCTAGGTTATCATTAGTCTGACCTGGAAACTTTGCCTGCAGACAGAATACACACTGCTGCAGCACCAGACCCAAGAAGGGCCCTGCTGAACCTAAGTTTTGAATAAAGCTTTCAGTCAAAATATACTAGCTTTGATTTTTTTATCTCTCTGTGCCACTAAGCACAGCAAAACTCTTCACATTTTCCTCATCAGTGACTGGAAGCACTCTTTGGTCCGCTTTTGTTACCTATACTGAATTTATGAGCCTGAACTCTTCACATTTACATGAACTGTTCAGAAGCCATCCTGCCGTAAATCTGTACTGCAAGGCAGAACAGCCCAGTACCTATCAGACACAAAAAGAAGACAGACATTGTGAACAAAATCTCTTCCTTTTTTTAACACCGTTTTTCTTGATGTTCACATCAACTAGATCCACACGTTATCTTGTAAGCTGAAAAACCCACCAATCTGCCTTTCTTGACACTTCCTTATTTCATCAGCAATGGAGTTAACGACTGTAGAAAGGGAAGGAATCTGCAAAATCAATCAATTTTTTACTGACTCTAAAAAAAAGCAAAGAAATAATTTTATTTAGCATTCAGTATCCCTCAGCAAGGCTTACTGAATCTGGGGCAAGTAAAAACTAAGTGAAGATATAACACAAAATGAATTCAAATAAAGAGGCACTTATCCTTCCATGTGTTACTTTTTCGTAAAATTGTTATTCCAAACTAAACTTGATATCATCTACAACCTTGGTAAACCCACACACCGCCAAAGGCAGAGTGAAATTTAGAGTAACAGAAGCAAATGGTCAGAGACTGGAGGACTCCTGTAGTACTGAAGGAGAGTGAGCTCTATTTTCCTTTGTAAGTCTCACACATATACACAACCTGTACTGCTGCATGGTTTCAGGCCATTTTCACAGTTCACCTGTGGGATACGAAGCATAGGAGAGCAAATCCAAGTACACAGTACAGAAAAACTCCTGAAATATTTTAAGTGCTTTCCCCCAGTCTTTGGAAAACCTTATCAGATCCTATCAGCTCTAAGTTATTAGCAAAGGTCATGTTTGTGCAAATCAGAATTATTTTATTAAAAAAACCCACACAAAAAAAAAAAAGGAAATTCAAAGTCAAACCCTCACTCATGTTTCTCCCTCCTTGCTAGCATGATACCAACTAGTGCTCTTGACACTTCCCATCTCCGCACCAGCCTCTTTCTTCAGCCAGAAACCTTGCTCTAAACACATTCTCTGGTGCCCTGTCTTCTCACTTCTCCCCCTCCTGTCCTCATTTTGTGTACAAAGCTGTTTATCCTGCTGTCTCTTCAGCTCACCGCCATGGTTCTCATTCAGTTTCAGTCTCCCACTCTCTTGACCCTTCACCTCCTACTCATCCACATGGTATCTTACAAGGTAATTGAAAACCCGAATGTCTCCCTACTGCCAATAAAGAAAGGCTCAGTCCTCGAAGTACTAATTCAGACCACCTTAACCCTGCAGGGAGTTACTTTTCAAGCCAGAGGCATTCCACAGAAAAATTCAGAGCAAAATTCTGCATGAGGAAGAGATGGTGCATGGTCACTATAGCAAATGGTATCAGATTTATGACACTTAGAAATGAATCCCCAAACCACTCACCCCAGCATTTTCTTGGTGCTTTATACTGTCCAGAGATTTGGTCCAAATTTTCCAAGTGGTAAATTACACTGATTTTGTAAATACACGTGCTATTTTGGGTTTTGTTATTATCTGTGTAAAGTGTATAGGGCCTGTTGGTTTCTGACATAATTTTAATTATACTAGGTGAACTTAAAAAGCACAGACCACAGATCGTTTCTGGCAGAAGCATCATTCACTGTGAAACATCCATTTACAATTTCCTACACAAATTGATCACTCAGTTTGCTGTGGGAAGTACTTAACCCTTTTTATATAGAGAAATGACTTCACCAAATGAAGAGTTTAAAAGAGCCCATTTTACCAAATCCTTCAGTTTGATTAAACATCATCTTCACTGTATGACAAGCAGAGCCATCTCCCAGGCAAACTCCACACTGGTCTTCAGTTGCATTGGAATTTATCTCATAGTCGCAGCCAACAGCCTAGGAGGAAAAGCAGTTTCAGAATAAATGTGGCCTCCACCATGAAAGACTCAAAGCTCAGGTATCGCTGCCTTTGGTTACACTGCTCCTCTAAGAAGGAAGAGAACCCATTCTGTAGTAGAGCATATATTGTATATACAGAAACTACTAATAGAGATGGCTGTATCTAGGCCAAAACTCATGTATTATATGAAAGTGAAAATCAAACAAGCAACAACCCACCATCATGTCATGAAACAGGCAGTAGTGACCAGTCACTAGAGATGAAAATGTGTCACTCAAATGGCCTCAACATCTAGGACCAGCCAATACAACTAGGATTTGTGTCTGCTTTCTTATGTCATAGAAACATCCATGAATTCCGAGGAATACAATGTAGTAAAAACTTAAATCATTGCTCAGCCTTTTGTGGCTGTCAGAAAGTGCAGAACCTTTACTGCAGTCAAACCATCTGTTAAAGAGAAACTCTTCAGCAGGCATGAACGTTTATACCCATAACAGCTACATCTCCAGCTTGCCAGCATGGGGAAATAGGTCAAGGTAAAGTTCTGCTTTTCCAGTTCATAACTGCTACAAGGAGGAAGTAAAGAAAAATTTATTCATAATGAGTCAGGACAAAACTTCTTCTTTGCCCAAACAAAAAAATTATGTGCACTAATGTTTTTAAACTTCAACCATATCTTTATTTGTTTTGGGGGTGTTTTTTGCTTCTCTTTAAAAACTAGCAAGACTGCAGAACACAACCTAATATCCAACACTTAATGGTTGTTAACCTAAGATATCTGGAGGACTAAATCACCCATCTCATGATTTAGATGAATAGCTGTAAGTCTGATGGTATGCAAAGGTTTTTCTCAGCTGATTTTTCTCAGTATAAGCTTTCAGTTGCAATACCTGCCAACTTGTCTAACACCTTCATGACGTATGAAAATCTGGGTATCCCCACTTTTGATTTGGATCTTATTTTACCTTCAGTACCTCAGCTACTGTAATCTTCTATAAGCTTCTAACAGGAAAATCTACCTATTAGACTAATCTAGGTATAAAGGCTGCTGCAATTCTCTTAATATTTTTCTGTCACTTGCAGCTTGAGAAACACCTGAACCTTTCCTCTATGTGCCAGTGATTTCATGAGCAGCTAAAGAAGCTGCAAAAACAGAAGCACGTAAAGGTCTCAAATTACAAATGGTGTTAAACCATGTCAACTGCATTTTCATGAAGGATTCAAATAGCCAGCACCTTTAACACCCGCTCTGAAAACAATGGCCATGCCAAAAGGTTCTGCATCAGCCTCAGCTTCTCTCTCCTTTCAGAGAAGGCTACTTTCAAAAATGGGGAAGTGTAATGTTTTTCACACAGACACATCTCAGCACCAAGGACCATGTTTATGAGCAGCACAGAATGTTACAGAGATAAGCACACATTAAGAAGGTAGCTACATTTTTTGACTCCAAACATGTAGCTATTCAACCAAGGATGGATTTAATGAAGTATTTAAAGTACACAGACACCAATGTGATAAGTGCAGGATGTTTCTTTATCTTGCCAAGAGTTCAGATCTGACTCTTCACCTGCTATCTACAGATGCACCGCTGTTTATATTTAACACTTCCTAAGAATTTAAAGAAGAGTGAAGCTATTTTCTTAAAGAGATGCATTCTGCAGTGTCTTTACTACCAGTACATTTGTTAATCATCTACAAACAGTTAGTAAAGCCATTATTATCAGCTTTGTTATTAGACCAGAGGAGTAACCAGCCCCTCTGTAGAGTCCTGAAAGTTCATGTTCCATTCTATCCACATACTCACTATTAAACAGAACGATGGGGAAAATGTGAAAATGGAATCCTTGCACTTCATGTTTTGCTATATAAAATATTATTAATAATTGTTTTGGAGTTTCTCTTTTGAACTTCTTTTAAAAAAATGACATCTTCAAATTATACGTATTTTACCAATTTAGCATTTTCTGGTAGAAAATCAGTGCTCTTGAAAAGGTTTCTGTTCATCTTTATTTACTGTTCATGCTTGTTTGAGTGGCTGCATCCAGAAATAATTTATCTGATTCCCACTGTCAATCAGACATTTTGAAAGAAACATCACTGAATGTATTTCCCTTGTGGGTGTCACACAGTGTAAAAATCCCCAGATGCTGAACCAATTAGTCCCAAACTACTGCACTGGCACAAGCAAATGAGTGGGGCAGCAGGTCCACGGTATCATAACTGTCCTGTCTTTGGGGTGCTAATTAACATCTCTCCATGGGATGTACATGGGCCATATCATCTCGGTCAGAATCAGAAGACGTTTTCTCTACATTCATGGCATCAAAATATGGCATTGCTATGGCATGAAGGGAATCCTTTGTCCCTTCCAGTTTTAACCATGGAAGCTTGTATTTTGTTTTTCCTCTGACATTTGAAACAGTTTGCATCTGATCAGAGTTCAGTCTTACCTACGCATGGTGGCACTGCAGACAACTGTGGCAAGGCACACAATTTACTGTGTTAGAGCAAACAAAGCCTTCATTTTATTCCCTAGCTCTGGGGTGCACTGGTAGTGCAATGACCTTCAGAGCTAGCAACACAGCCTTATCTTACAAGGCCATTAATAAATATCACAAAGTGTATATTCTGGTGTGTCAGACTAAACAGCAGTCATTCATTCTAAATACATTTACATGAACTTTAATTTCCACTGGAGCGGTTTTACTTTCCCGCTTCAGTGACTATCATATTGTTTCTGTCATTCATTTATTTCTAAATACTTCCTCCTCCATTTTACTTGCTTTCCTCATTCTTCTGATTCTTCTGTATATGCAATAGCCATGCATATGCTTTTTCTAAAACTGCTTTAAATAGTCACGTGCCTCAACTTTCATGCCAAATTGCCTGTTAAAAGCGATACAGACTAAATGCAGGTTATAAAACAAGCAAAAAAAATAGCAGCAATTGGGCTCTAAATCTTTTGTGTATTTGTGCATGTATTTCTCATCTATTTGTATACAGGGTGCACATACTTCCTTGGGCACCCTCTGCCACTGAAGCATGCTGTGCTACAGCAACCACTGTGTGCCACAGCAGGTGCAGAGCAAATCAGCACCCTTCCATGCAGCCCTTTGCCGTTGCCCATTCACCAAGAGCCTTTTGGATCTGAGAGTGGATTTATTTCTGGGCCCAGCACACAGTGTGGCGGCAGAAATAATGACTCGAATTGCCTTGCTGCACTACAGGAAGGAGAAACAATTTCCTTCCTGCTGCTCAGTGTCTAAAGGAAAAACCAGTCAGAGATATTACCCTTTTGCCACTTCCAGACTGAGAAAGTTTTGTGTCAGATTGGTAGCTGGGGGCAGATATAAAAAGTCTTTGCTGTTGCTGAAGGGTACGGGTGGGTTGCACTGCCTGAATTACCAAAGTTATATGGATGCTACATTGATCTTTTAAGCTTTTCCTTCTGTCTGCTTCCCCAACTCGTCTCCAAAGAAAGAAATCACGTTCATTTCATGCTGGCCAAAGCATTGCCTTAAATGGGGAGAAACGTGTCCTGATGTGCCTATTTCTCTTATAATTTGTCTACATGGGTCTGAATCAATGTTCTGTTGGGCTAGCAGTGGGATAAGGAGACAGACCATAGTGACAGGTAGTAAAGCTACTACAAAAAATGTGAGATGTGCAATCTCCCTTTCAGCAAAAGAAAAAAAAATAGCAACACATTTTCCTCTCTAGTACTACACAGCCGTGTAGTTGTCCAATACAATGTTAGTCTCTCAACGTAACAATTGTGAATTGCCAGAGAAAACAGCTCACAGATTTGCATGATTGAAGGTCATTAAAGCCTATTAAAATTCTGTTTGGAAAATGAATGCTTGCTAGAAACAGCAGAGATGTCAGGTCCTCCACCCACAGTGTCTGCCCATTCTGACAGCATACACCATGTACGTCTCCACTTTTAGATGCTATGGCTTTAATTTAACCAAACTCCTCAGTCATGTATACATCAGTGCTCAAGCAACATACTCTGATGGCAGTGCAGTATCTTTGCTTATTAACACCGGGGAAGCAACAGGTCGCTCTTGTATGAATTAAAGTGCACTTGTGATGTATAATTTAAAACACAGGAAGATAGGGTATGTGCTTTAAAGATCTTCTAAATAAAGGCAAAAAGTGACACTCAAACGATGAGTATAGAGGAGTATGATTAAATAGCAAACACTCAGGGTATATCTTGATGATTTTAGATTAAACTACTGACAGATCTTGACTCTCTCCACTCAAGGCTGTTTATAAGTCAGACATCATGACAGGGTGGGGGCTAAGCAGATACTTGAAGGGAGGCCAGACTACGTTCAAATACAATAAAAAGATTAAGAGGATTCCATCTCCCATCTCCTTATTAACTACTCCACTTGGAACAAAACATGTTTGTAACTGAAGGCATGTAGATTTGAGATGCCACTTTGCAGCCACTGGCTCCGGTACTGAGTGATTTAACAGCATTACACTGTTAGGCAAATCCTCTTCTGTGTAAGGACAGAGCTGCACGAAGACGCAGCTATTGTATATGCCAGACCTTCAATGAGTTAATAGTTCTAGATTGTCTTTGAATTTACAAGGCAAATTCTAAAAGAATACCATAACAACAACACCTGACTGATAAGGCTTCCTTCTGCACTGAGGTATAGGCAGAACTTCTGAAAGATTAGGACCCAAATATTGAACAAATTATAAGGACCAAGTGGAACAGCACTGGTGTCTGTCTGTACTTATTTCCCACTTGAAGATGCACATTATGGCTTTTCCAAGGTGGCTAGGAAAGCATCCAGTACGCATCAGGTAGCTAAAATTAGGCATCTCAATCCACACTTAGCCATCAAGATAAGACAATTGTTTCTGATTCCTTTGAACACAACCATGGCAAACTACAAAACCAGACTAAAATCAGCTGAATTTAGGAGATTAAATTCTTGATTGAATCTATCTTGTTTTGACATATCCACTAAGAAAACTCTGAACTCAGTTGTTAAAAAATAGCTACTTTGCATACCAAACACATGTAAGCTATATGGACAGTGGATCTAATGTACAACATGTCACCATTTTAACCTTTCGCTCAATTTCAGACCCAAGGGATTATTTCAGCTCTATGAATAAATGTGATTTTGTGAGATACAGTACTGAAAGCCAGAACAGCACTTTAACAGACATGGCCATTAATGTTTGTGAGCTCCTTTTTCACATCACTAACAACATGTTGCTATTGGAGTACAAGAATGACGTATCAGACTAATCATATTAAATGCATTTCCAGATTTATTCACCATGACTTGTAATGTATGTATTGTGTTTAACTACCTGGACTAAAATGCTAGTGAATTATATAAAGATACTTGAAAATGCTTCTCCTCAAGTGTTATACTGGGTACCTATTTCAGATAAAAGCATGCTGTCTTTTAGAAATGTGAGCTATTTGCGTTATATTCATAATTTGGTCTCATCTGTGGCAGCTGCATGATTATGCTGTTCACTTCATGATTCTGACTCCAGTTAAATCTGTTTGTCCTAAGATGTGAAGCAGCAATCAACATGTGAAATGATGTCAAAACTGTATTTATGATAGCATGAGTACCTTGGATGAATTTTTTACAAAGGTTTTGAGTCCCCAAAACTGTTGATGCTAAAGTATATCGAATACCTACAAAGCGCAATTAGAATTAGCTTTCCTTTCACCTCTGATTTATCTCTTCTGATTAAGTTTTGCTATTTCTAACAGGTATAAATTCAACTGTCACAGGCAAGGTTCAATATAGAAAGCACGTGGAAACTAAAATTACCATAGTGATCCCAGTCCACTTGGGCTGAAAATCAGAAAACAGAAGTGCAACATCATAAAGACAGCCTCTTGAGTATACCACTTGGCCTCTTCCAAGATCAAAAGCACAGATATGGTATGCAGCATTTACTACACATTTCAGTCTGCTAACGATACGCTTCCACCTGTCTTGAACTGTTCAAGTCCAGGTCAGGTCTTTAACCATGACAGTTAAAAGGCTTATCCTGTTTCAGCGAAGTCAAGCAGAATCTTTTCACTGTGAATCTAAGCAGGGTAACCCCCTTTCACAAATGCATGTCCTGCTAGGAAAGCTTAAAACAATTCTTTCATTGCTGCTCTCTTAAGGCACTGGCATCTTACCAAAATAGAAAGTCTTCAGAGAGGGTATACCAATGACCTATTAAAAATGCAGTTTCCATCAGTAGAAGTCTTTGAGAAAAGAATGTAAAAAATGTCAAAAAAGGAACATGATTCTCATAAGAGATGCAACATGACTTCTTGAATTCCCATTTAGTTGCATTTTTATATGATACAGTGACTTAAGACATACAATCAGAAGCTCACTACAGTAAGCTAATATAGTTTCCACAAGACACCAAGTCCTGCTTTTGTTTCCAAAGATCTTAAAAGCAAAAAAGCTATCAGGCTTCGAGGGGTACAGCATACAAATCCCCAGTTTGAAGAAATAAACTGTTGTAAATACATCCCCTACAAGTGAAGTACTCATCTTATTTATGAGAAATTCACTAAAACCTAGTTCACTAAATTAGGACTGTGGGTATTACAGAATTTACAAGAACACACCTTCAAATGCCACAAAAAAAAACATCATCCTAAACACCTACTATCAAGATGCAAAATATGCAGAGAATGTTAATTCTTCACTTCTGAACTATATACTCTGTGTCTGCCTGTTGTTTCACTGTACGGCATTATTCAATTTAGTAGTGTAAACTGAAATAATTTTTACTATAACAAGTCAGTTCAGAACTGCTACATAATGTGTAATGTTAAACTGAAACAAACAGATTTTCTTACATTGATGTTTTAGAATAATGGAAAAAGAAGAGAGGCATTAAAATGTACCAGAAGTAATGAGCACTCAGGTTTAATGGATTAAATAAAAAGGATGGAAACAGCTCTTGCGTCTACTTGGAAAAGCTGTTTCTACAAACTTGTTTCCATGATCATTGAGAATGTGGTAAAATGGAGTACTTGGCCTCAATCCTCCAAAAAAAATTTCTCAATCTGTCCATAAAAAGATTTCCCAAAACTTCATAAAAAAAAACCATAGAGAAAGAAACATGCAAACATACCCAATACCTTACACATGCCATTAATACAGATATCTCGGCTGTGCTTTCCTTCAAAGCAAGGAGTACCATCAGTGACTGCATCAAGCATCTTTTCTGAAAAATGGCCGTCTGTTGGTCGACAGTGGAGCTCACAGGGGTTTGCTGAAAAGAAATAAAGATGCTTTCTCAGAAAACACTTTAGTGGGACACTGAACTGCAATGCACAAGGAATGACATTATGTTTTTACTCCACCAGCCACTCACTTTCCCTGGCATTTGACAGAAATGGCAAATTAGAAGAAGTTAGCAGAGAGACGGCTGTATTGCTAAAGACAGTGACAAGGCCTGACAAATGGCACTTGTGGACTTCTACAAGCTGCTGGAGGCTGGTGTCCTCATGCTTCCATGCTCTCAGTCACTGGCATGTTTACAGGCAGCTGGCTCAGTCAAGCAGTAATGAGGCTCTTAGCTGTGACGGACAAAGGGACAGAAAACCAGTAAAACCAGCTGTCATCATTGAGGGGAAAGGAGGAATGTGGGGGTGAGATTGCCAAAGATACTGAAAAGCAACAGTTTTCCATCAGCTGATGACTAATTTCAGAGGTAATTTACAGCTTTTCACCACTGCTGCCGGTCTCCCTCAGAGAGCAGTCAAGTGGTTGCTTCTGATATTCTGTAGTGTCACATCAGTGCTTATTTTCAGCTATATGCTGGCACTTAATAAGTTATTCAAACACTGGACTTTTTTCCTGCTTGGCAACTTATGAAATGGGGATAATATTGGTGAGTCTGACAAGACGCAGGCTGCTCTTGGATAGATGTGTAAGAAAGCAACAGGGGAGAGAAAAGCTGCAGCAAAAGTAATCTGTGGATTTTTGAAGCAAGATTTCCTGTAATGGACCAGCCTTAGTCTATTCAATCCATGGAGTTAAGAAGAGCCAAACACACACTGCTCTGTCTCATAAACACTGGTCCTTTGGAATGAGAAATTTTGAAACCATGGCTTCAGACAGTCAAAAGACATAAATTAGATTAGTAAATTGTGCACACAGAAGATGAGTTAGAACTGAATCCAGTGTCAAAGGAAAGGCAGATTTATAATCCATGACCATACAGCACTCTGTGGAAACCATCCAGCAGATCCAGAGGTATCTGACTGGAAAAAAGTCATCCACTGTCATATCAATGAGAAACAGCAACAGAGGACCTGTCTTCTTGTTTTGTTCTATTCCAAGACCCCAGTCTAGCCACACATCACAGCACTTTGTTCATGCTCAGCAAGTTGAAATGCTTTGCTGAACAAACCAGTAGGCCTTAAAACTGCCAGTCTTTAAGGACTTCAAGGCACCATTCTTGAGTCATTTTAATACAATCTTCCTATGTGTTGCAGAGGTACCTCTGCTGAGAGACAATTTCATCATGTGCATAACAGAGCCAACAGAAGTTGCTCCCTTCATCTCAGAAGGAGGAAGCATAACTATATATCTCCTCCTGCACCCTGGCTAATGAATTTCTTTCTCACTCTTCCTTTTTTGTTGACTTGGTTTGTTTCATACAAAGAACTGTGTTTAAAATTGAAAGAATTTCTACTAATGAGAGAATTTCAAACTTTTGGTAATGCAAAAAACCTGACCAATTTCCTACAAACGGATTTACTCCTTCAAAGGGGAAAATATGCTCTCCTTGCTCTGATTTATAGAGCACCAACACTTACACACCACCATGCAGTGCACAAAAGTGACTGCAGCTCCTGCCCCCAAAATACTTGCAACTTGGAGACTGAATCCTACATGGCTTGAGCTTTAAAACTATGAAACTCATTGACGTAGACAGGATCTCTAGAGAAGTGGCATCCAAAAAATAAAAAGGGGCACTAAAGGAAGTCTAAAACCTTAATGAGGACTTTTGTGCTTTCCCTCTTGTCAGTGGAGCTAAAATGAAATCTCAGCACTGATAATAATGTTGTGCTTGTGGCTTCTCAAAGTTGCCTTCATAAAGGGCAACTGGGTGATTAGAGGCAGAGGACCCACATGGACCAACGTTACAAAACTGGTGGAATTCAAGGTGACGTGAGTCATGTTCAAGAATATCAATAGAGATGGAGCTATGTAAGAGTCTCAGTCAAGAACATAAAATTTGTAATCTTTACCAGCCCTCAGCCCCTCTGTGAAAACTGCCAGCCATAACATCCATCATTTGGTCTGATAAGAGCCATCATGATAAGTAATACAAGTAATTTTACTTCTATCTGCAGAAATTATTTTCTGGCCATTTAGCTAGTTTGATTATTTCTGTGCTCTAAATTTTGTTCCACCTTGCTTACCTTCTCAATGCATGTTTTTAAGCACAAGGCACAATACTCTTATGGAAAGGAGAATTCCAGAATTCCATCTAGTCTGTTACCTGCAGAGAATCAATCCTAACTGACAAAGACTTTGCAGAAACCCGTTTCAGATTTATATTGTTTGTAATTAAATATATGTAGAGCAACAGTTTGATATCTGTACCTCGTTCTTAGTTGTGTGTGGTCATAGCAAGACGGTATTCAATTTCATTTCAGAAATCACTGAGCAAGAAAAAACAGGCAGTGCTGTCTGCTGACATTAACTCATAACTATGATGCTCTAAGAATATAACTCAGAAAAAGTTTGTAGAGAAAGATAACTCCCTTGATAAGTCAAAATAAAAAAGTAAAAAAACACAAGGAAACTTTCAGACTTGCAAAGGCTTGTGATTCAAAGAAGAGTTTTCTGGACATGAAAACTTTCCTGATATTCCTAACTCTAGTAACTGACCTAAAATTAGATCCTACCTGTACCCACAAATTTTGTATTGCTTTTCTTCCTGTCAGTTTTCTGCTGAACACCACTGCAAGTGAGAGTACACTGCTCCCTCCCAACAAACTCAATCCTATCCAATATTTATACTCCTGCCATCATTCTTTAATTTATTTTGGTATTTCATGTGCATAGAAAGCTGGTCAGGGCACATTACCCTAGCACTGTATTAGCTATTAGTTTTCTAGAATTATCTGCTTATCTATCATTCTTTTACAGCTGAGCAAAGGAACCTGACAAAAGATCAGGCTCCATTATTCCAGGACTGTAAACTAGCTGTATTAGAACCAGCCGCTGTCCTTAAAAAGTCTAAGATTTTAAACGTGAAACTATATAGCTGTACGGAGTACTTTCGTCTTCTGTTTTCAGAAGGTGAACTGACACATGAGGAAAATAAAAACATTTCTCAAAACAATGGAAGAACTTGAAAGCAAAGACTGGCATTGAATTCAGATTTTCTAAAACTTATTTCAGTCCTGAAAATCTAAAAAGATTAAACTGACATGAATATGAGCACTACAGTTGCTCAGAAGGAACTCATCAAAGCAGCTGGCTTAGTTTCAATTACTTCAGCAAATTTGATTAATTCATTATGAGACTTTAACAAAAAGGCTGTCATCTTAGTAACTTTTAGGCCAAAAGATACAGGAATTCTTGCAATCCAGCACATGCGTGAACCACTAGATCTAATCTGCAAACACTGAGTAATAAATGTGGTCGCACAGTTCTGGACCAGGAAAAGCACACTGAATCCCCATTTAAATAGAGATGATTTCTGCCTGAGTAAAGCCTACAGGATTTTACCCATACTTCACACCAAAGTAGGATCAAAGCCACTTCTCCTGCATAGACTGTATTTATATCCTCAGTAGTAATTCCTCAAGCCCTGTAGGTAACCTGCTCTAATGTTTAACCACCCACAAAGCAATTAAGATTTCTTAATGTGTAACCTAAAGTTCCCTCATGCTGCTTTGACTGTTTCTGCTTGTTCTACCTTTCATGATATGAAGAACTGCTAGATCTATCTCTCTCTGATGACTCCTGTACTGCTTAAGTGGGGAGAATGGAAAATTGTGGTATGAAGTGACACAGAACTTGATGTCAAATCCAAGTTTGAAAGCAGAAGAGCTACATTCAAACTGAGGTGATGTAAGACCATGAGGTACTGATTTTCAAAGTCGGTTAACCAGGGCACAGAACTGCTTGAATCTCCACACCTTTTTCCAGACCCAAGCATGGAGCCATGCAGTCATGCTAGCCTGTATCTCTATGAGCTCAGGGATATTCATGCTAAATAACCTTAGAAAATCTCTTGACGCAGCTGGCATACAACGCACTCCATTTTCTCTTCTTCTAGAGCAAAACTTGATTTCTCAATGTGTGTTTTTCAAATAACTGGACTTCCATATTGCTTTCCTGTAAACCTCCTCCAGCTTGGCTGAATGTTTCCAGCAGTGCTGATCCTAGCTGGACATAAGATTTTAGCTGAGGTGCCACCAAAACTCATCAGGCTAAAAAACTACATCCTGTTTTTTACCTGTAGTGCCCATATCCTACACCAAGATTATGCTGCAGATTTGATCAATTGCAGATTGAGATCAGTCCTCTAATAGATAGAAGAAACCCAGATGTCATGGAAACCCAAGACACAGAACTCCTGTAAGCGCCCAGTGACTAGGTAAGTCACTGTAATCAGAATGGGATCGAGGAAGCAAACCAGAAAACTGAGTACAAATCCTAGAATTCAAGCATGTGGGGTTTTTTTGTCCCCTTGTACATTACAATGGAGTTCAGATTCACCAGGTGTAAACAGAGCAACACAAAGATAAACAGGAAGGAAAATAGTCACTTCCCACTTTAAATTTCTTTCCCTCACAGTTGACTCCCATGAGTTCACCTGCAGGAAGGACTCAGCTTAACCTGACTGAGAAGGATGTGATTAATGTGCCTGCCAGCAGAAGATAAGGATTCAATATGTTTTTCCTAATTCACAAGGAAGAAAAGAAGTGGGCCTCTTCTCTTCAAATTCTCACCTCTTGAGAATGCAAAATTGGCGGAGGAAATCCAAACCAAAGAATATTAGAAAATAAAACTATCAAACACATACAAAACAATGGAAAAAATAGCTGAGTCGAAGCTACTTTATCACTTTAATCAAACTTGGATCTCCAAAAGGAAGTTTACTTTCAAAACGGTTGATAGTAAAACATTATCTCCTGCTGTTAGCTCAGCCCCTGTGACTGTATCAGTACACATCTTGATATACAGACATATATTGGAAGAAATATGAAATATAAAACACAACATAACTCCTATCTGTCAGTATATGAGATGATCCTGACACTGACTGAGAAAAGAAAGATACATATTCAGTGCAGGACTCAGTACATGGACGTTAAGCACTAAGTGATTCAAGTGAGTGTAATACGTCAAATGGCATGAAATAAGTAAGTGTGGGATCACAATCCAGAAAACATCCTGGTCAGAGGTGCTGGTTGCTTTAGCCATCTTTGCTTGGAAGTGCCCTTCACCTGAAGACTCCTTAGGATAATCAGGTGCCCCAGCTGGAGCACACGGCTTTCTGTGCTCCACAGCTATGCTCCACAATAAGACTATGCAAATTCCCCAGCAGGTCCAAATTCATTGAAAACTGAAGGGAAAAATCTCAATTGGAACCTTAAATATAGTTAGCCTTGGTTAACAGCAAGATGTCATTCACTGATTTTCTTTCAGGTTGTTAAAGCTGCCTGTTATATCTTGCCTCATAAGCTATTTTTTAAAAAAGTCTTTGTCCTCTATTGAAGGTACAATGTACCCAACAGGAAAAGGACATTACAGTGCTTAATTACTGGTAGACCTCATAGCAGCCTTCCAGTATCTGAAGGGGGCATATAGGGATGCTGGGGATGGACTCTTCATCAGGGACTGTAGTGGTAGAACAAGGGGTAATGGGTTAAAACTTAAACAGGGGAAGTTTAGATTGGATATAAGGAGGAAATTCTTTCCTGTTAGGGTGGTGAGGCACTGGAATAGGTTGTCCAGGGAGGTTGTGAATGCTTCATCCCTGGCAGTGTTCAAGGCTAGGTTGGACGAGGCCTTGGGTAATATGGTTTAGAGCAAGGTGTCCTTGCCCATGGCAGGGGGGTTGGAACTTGATGATCTTAAGGTCCTTTCCAACCCTAACTATTCTATGATTCTATGATTCTACGTGACACTCATTAGAACTGGCTTATGTAAGGTAAGAAATTAAAGCCGGGAGAAAGAATTGTGACCATCTAGATAATTTACTGTTTTTCCAGCAGGATGAAGGAACACAGAATGTCTAAAATGTCACAAAATGTTTAGCTATGGGTTTTACCTCCTCAACTAGATGCTTCCACACAGTCTGTTCCTGAAGAACTGCACCCCATGGAAGAGATCCGTGCTGGAGCAGTCTGCTCCTGAAGGACTGCATGCCACTGAAGGGACTCATGCTGAAGCAGTCTGTTCTTGAAAGATGCACCCCATGGAGGGAGCCAGGCTGGAGCAGTTTGTGAAGAATTCACATTGGAAAAGTTCACAGTTGACCATACCCCATGGGAGGGACCCCACACTGGAGCAGGGGAAGAGCAGCAGAGACAGTGTATGATGAGCTGACCACTATTTCCATTCCCTAGCCCCTGCACCACTCAGAGGGAGAAGGAAGGGAAATTAGAAGTGAAGTTGATCCTGGGAAAAAGGAAGGGGTGGAGGGTAAAGTGTGAGTGATGTGAAGTTCTTGAAATAGGACTGAACCAGATAAAAGGAAAAGGGAAGCTTGTGTACACAGAAAGGTTGATGTACATTTGCTAGACATGGTGATAAGTCTCCAGAGCCCTGAAACATCATCTCTGGTTGTTGTTTTTTTTTTTGGGGGGGGGGCAATACAAGACAAGCACAAGAAAGGCTCAAACTGCTCCATCTCACAAAGAGAGGACTGTTTTATGACTTAACTTCTGGAGTTTTTTTGCCCAGAAGCCTTTAGGAACCAAGTGAAGATGAAGGAAAATCTGAAACTGAAATGGGATGAAAAACTCCTGGGTGTATTTCAGTGCAGCAGTTAACACTGGCTCAACATGACTGGAAGCAGTGCGCCCACCCACCCTCAATCGTACAACAATGATATCAGCTGAACAATCAGCACACGATTTTGCTTAGATGAGAGTTCCCACAAAAAACTGCCTACCTGAGGAAGCCAGGATTTTTGAAAGTTAAGAGTTTAGCAGCACGAAAACACTTCAAACGTTGTTAATGGAATGTAAAAATGAAGTTGCAAACAGTAAGGACCTCACAGATCATGAGGGAGACGTGTAACTCTAGACTGAAATTCTGGCTGCCAAGAAAATGGGTAAAAACAGTCAAAAAGCTTTTTAAAGCAGAGAAAAATACATTTCCTTGGTATTTGACAGATTTTTGCAAAAGGTCACTGAAACCTAGGATGTTCCAGATGAAATTTGCCTCAACAATGCAGCATTTTAAAGATAAATGGTTTGTCTGTAAAGCTCAAATTGGCTGTTTTTGAAATATGGCATGGACACACCATAATAGACATGCCTTCCAGTGTGCAGGAAGCATTTTATTCATGATTCTTAATGTCTTTTAGTAGCAGACCTGCAACAAATACACATTGAGAACTACCAGTTCCATAGCGCTGCCCTAGAGAGGACATGAACAGAACTAAGGCTGTATGCTGCAGCAATACACTAACAGCAAGGATTGGAATTCCAGTCCTCAGGGACAGCAGAGTGCAGAAAACAGCTTATGAGTCTGCAGAAAACATTTTACAGGTTTGGCTTTCGACTAAGTCTTATGCTGTTAGTATATATCATGGTTTGTTTTATTGGAAGTTCTTCTGAAAAAGTCTTTCTATCAACCGTATTTTCTTTCATCAGATATTTTCCTGGAAGTCTGTCTGCTCTAGGTTCATCTTCAATGGTGTGTTTGTTAGATGAAATTGAAACAGTAGCTGAACTTTAGGAAACCTATTCAGAACTGGCAATAACTGTGAAAATGCAATAAACATGCCTACAATACCATTGGCTGAATCTTGAGCTTCACTTCCCTAGCCGGTTTATTAAAACAAATAATCATATTGCTAGCTTCTACTGGATAATCTACACCTTACATTTATGCATACATCAAGAATCAACCTGCATGGTAGTAACTATTACCCCTGGATTTAGTAGCTAGCTGTTACAAAGCAAGTTATAAGGCAGAGGCATCATTCTGTCTCTACAATACAGAGCAATACAATACTGAATCTGTTGAGGTATTAATTCCTTGGTGTCGTGCCAGGTATACTTACCATACAGATCTCAGTCTGGAAGTAGTAAAGCTCCATTTGTGCACTGGAACAGTTCTACTTATTGGGTGCAGTGATGCTGCAGGCCCAAACATGCAGCTTTACACTATACTACTGTACTTCTGTGGTTGACAATGAAAAAGACAGTTTGGGTCTATCTTGAACAATTAGTATAAATGTAACTTCCAATAGCTTTTCTTAGTGCAATATCCTTACAGGAACTAGGCTACTTACAATCACAGCCATTATTACCACAGCTTTGCTAAAACAGCTGTGTGTGGAGAACACCTGCCTTTGTGTATACACAAAAGGCACACCTGCATATGGAGGCACACCAGATTTTTCTCTCTGATCAATTAAAAGAGTTGTTCAGTGACTTCTTGCCCTTGTAGGGGTTTCTCATAGGTCTGTAAATCTGACTTTTTATGCGAGACTTGTAGCTTCATACCTGTGTTATAAATGGGAACCCAGTGGTAGAATTCATTCTGGTAGGGAACTGTATCAAATTCACTGCACTGCATTTGACGAAAGGTTGGCAAGTCTTTCCGGCAGGGGCTGATGTTACACATGCGATAGCGTTTCCTTTCTCCAGTGCAGTAGTCTCCTCCAAATTGTGGCCTAGAAAAGGAACATTTAGACTGCGACATGAGATTCTGGGTTAAAAATAGTTTTAAAAGAGCAATGTCTCTCAGGTTCCAGTGGGATAACAAGGTGAATCTGAATCCTTGGCAGGACAGAGATACCACTCACATGTTGAAGTACCCAAACACATCAGTATGGAGCACAGAGATTTAATAAAAACATGTATAACAAAGAAGTACTGAGCCTAAAGAATTGCCTGGCTGAACTTACAACAAATTAACCTACCAAATTAACTCCCCCAAAATACCGTATTTTCAAGAATGTTTGATAGTTCTAGAAAAGCCAGGTGATTTTTGCTCATAGGCACCCTTTTTAGTGATTTCTGAAAATTGTATGTAGGGTCTTCATGAACTTAGATATGCATTAGAAAAATCTGCCTTCATGTTCTGTACCTACCAACTCCTGTCTGAACAAAGCTGATGACTAGAACAGAACATGAACAGTTGACTCCTTGATTTCCCTCAGAACAGGTCACTAGCTATTGCTCTCACCCAGTATTTCAAGCCATTTATTTATTCACAGTGGTATTATTAAAGTAACATTTCTATTATTTCTGCAAAGCCTGAAGATTAAATAACAGTTTTGGGGCTTTTTTAATTTTGTGTAGGAATAAGCTCCATGGAGGGTAAGAATTAAAGAATATGAGGTAATGAGTTTCACACAGGTATGCTTAACTGGGAAGGAGAGGTGTTCAGGGTCTGTCTTGCTGTGTCATCTGCTGATAACCATTTCATACAAGAGCTTCCAATGTCATAAGTGTCTCAAAGATTTTGAATGAAAAGTAAGAAAAGATTGTGCACTCCGCTTACTCTGGGTTATCGCAGGGTCTCTCTGCACTCTGAACTCCTGCCCCACATGTCCTTGTGCAATGAGACCAGGATGACCAAACACCCCATCCGCCATGGACTGCTTCAGGAGTCTTGCCTACTGTAATGCACTCACCAGAAAAGCACCACTGAAGAGAGAAGAGGAAGGAGAAACAGCTTAAGATCGTTATTGCAGGAAAATGTTATTGTGAATGATTTGTTATTTCAGGGTTGAAAATTTAAGTGAGATGTCACATGATGCTCCTCTTTCACACTGAACAATAGCAGAGCTACTGATGGATCCTCCACCACCCTTTTGTAGGCAGCAGAACTGTCACCTTGTTCTCTCCACACCGAGTTCCATCTGCAGCTGCATCCAGTTTGGAGCGGCAGGAGCCTTTTACGGAGCACCACAGTGTCTGGCAAAGGTTCTGGAAAAGAAAGGAAACTGCAGCAGTCTGAAGCAAAGCTGAACCCCTATGGCCAAGATTTTCAAAAGCCTTCCATAGTTTTATACATCCATTCAGAAAGCCTTGTAAAGAATGTAATTTCAAAAGCAAATGTTCAGGGTTTTCCACAAGATTTAGCTACTCCTTGTTAGTGTACAAGGAGAAACTACTTAACAAACACAAAATGGTGAATACTTTCTACCAAGTGAATTACGTTTTACTTGAACTATGTGAGTTCAAGTATTTTTCCCATTAGCTGCTCAGGTCCCAGCTACACACAGGAAAAATGGCTTTGCAAAGTTTGGGCACTACTGTTTATAGCAAAGATGAACAGAGTTTATGATTTTCATTCGATGAGTACTAATGAGTACAATCTTCAAATTTGTGCTACTGTCTACCTGAAAACGCAAGTGAAACCAAAGAAGTTCAGAGAAGCCAGCCAGGAAAATAAACACGAAGTCGTATGTCCAAGTACAACAGTTAGGTTAATATTCATGGAGGTCCCAAAACTAAATGAGGGAAAATAGATCAAAACACAGGTCTCTTAAACCATCAGCCAAACAGATGGCAAAGGAATGATCTAAAAGAAGCAGTCCAGGCTACCTGGCAGAGAAAAAAGCCTAGTGGGCCGGGTGGAGTAAAGCCTCTGGTTAGTGAATGATTGCATATTAAGTTACTCAGACACTGGTGCCAGTTTAATGCAGTAATGCACAGCATTTCAGCTGCTGCTGCAGGTGCAGCAGTCAGCTCCACTGAAGGGACAGAAACTCCTGAGAGTCAAAAGATCTAGAAGGGCAAATAAACATTACAGCTACCTCGTAGCAAGTCTTCTTCACTCGATTAGAACAATTCTCTACAGAGTGAGGGCAGATATGAAGGGCCAGTCCGCCCTCCTCAGTTCACACGCATATCAGCTTCTCTTTTGATTAGCACACAGCAGCCCTGCATGCTTGGGAACTCCTGAATGAGCTTTGTGTGAAAAGCTGGACAAATCAGGGGTGTCAGAGAGACTGCACTCCCATTGGGAATAACAGAAGCAAAAGCCATGGAGCTCTGGGCAAGGTCTCACTGAGGCTGTTTGAACTGCAGAGTTCAGCACTGGAGAGAGGACAGAGCTGGCAGCTATCTGTGAAGCAGGGGGAGCTGTACATGTCATCTGAAAAAAGGATCTGGTAAGAAGGATGCCACTAGCACATCCCAGTAGCAGTTTCCACTGGTATTCTCACAGCAAGCAACATGCTAGGTGTGGGAGCCAACATAGAATCTGTGCACTTTGCAAAAGCTCCAGCCCCAATGAGGTAGCAGTAACATCTGACTGAGTGTGAAATGTGCAACTTGAATGACTGCTTCTGTTTAAAAACAGAAAAATGACCCGTTTCTATTTAAAATAGCTAAGCTTAGGCACAGTCTGTTTTGAGTGAGATACCTTTTATTAACTTCCTGCATTCTGTGTTAACCCTGGTTTTCATCTAGAACACTGGAAAAAAAAACTTGATACAAAGAACATCTCAAAGCACTCCAGAACTCCAGTTAGAATACAATGTCTAGGGCACTGAATCTTGGCTCATTTAGCTGCTTTTAGACAATGTATTGGTCAAAGGTTGTTTTGCAGTCCCCTATTTACAGTTCAAGAGTAGTATTACTTACAACTCTTTGTGAAGCCATTATCGTCAGGTTCTTAAGGCTAACCAAATGTTCTGCCTAATTAATTTTCTTTCATTATGAAATTAATTCTTTATTTTACTCTTGTATGTAGAGTGCTTTTTTTTATGTTTTGTGGTTTTAGTGTTGTCATGGTTTAAGACCAGCTGGCAACCCAGAAACCACGCAGCCATTCACTTACTCCCCACATTCCTCCCCCTGCTCCCAGAGGGATGGGGAGGATAATCAAAAGAATGTAACTCCCACAAGTTTGGATAAGAACAGTTCAGTAACTAAGGTATAACACAAACCACTGCTGCTACCCCCATCAATAATAATAAGGGAAATAACAAGGGAAGAGAATGGAACTGCTCTCCACCTGCCAACCGATACCCAGCCCAACCCGAGCAGTGATCTATCCCTTCTGGGTAACTGCCCCCAGTTTATATACTGGGCATGACGTGCTGTGGTATGGATACTTCTTTGGCTAGTTTGGGTCAGGTGTCCTGTCTCTGCTTCCTCCTGGCTTCCCCTCCTCCCTGGAAGAGCATGAGACTCAGAAAGCCCTTGGTCAGACTAAACATTACTGAGTAACAGCTAAAACCATTGGTGTTATCAGCGCTGTTCCCAGGCTGAAAGTCAAAACCACAGCACTGCACCAGCTACTAAGGAGAAAAATGACTGCTACTGCTGAACCCAGGACAAGTGTGTAAAGTGTACTCCTACACTGTGCTTCAGATACCACAAAGAGGCACTGAAGCCAAACACAGCTTTCCACTGACAAATACATTTTTATGAGGTCTATTCACAGATTTCAATGTCAAGGGTTCACAGAGGAAATTTTTTAGCTTTGCAAGAATTTTCCATATTGATCTCCATGCACCAGAGCTTTTTTCCACTATACTGGAATAACAACAGTGCAAGAAAAAGTACTGCTTACGGTGTGCTCTTGGAGGTAACAGCCAGAAATTCATGACTCTACCATGGACTTACTGAAAGGCAAGTGATTTTTATTATCAGTAATACTGTATACACTTTCCACTCAATCTATGAGATCAGGGTCTGTGACTAAAAGAAAGTAGGGTCAAAAAAAATCCAAACAACTTCACTGAAGTCAGTGGAAGTTTTGGAGATAAAGAGAGGGCAAGGATTTTCGGCTCCTACAGCCTGTCTGATAGGAAACTATGGATATACCTACCACTTGGAAAATTCCTCCCCTGAATCTGTATTCTGCTTTTCTTTTCCTTATTTGAGGGACAGTCTTTAAGTGCTTAGAGGTCTTACCACCTAAATGGTTCATGGAAATCACTATCTGAATTATAAATCTTAGTCTTTGCTAAGCGGAGTCACTGAACCCTTAGGCATGTTCAGCTAAATGCAGATTTTTCTCTCAAAAAGAATCTGTGGATCAAATTCTAATGTCAGACATTAGATTACAGAACAAACATAGCCTGGTCAGTGAGCAAGTGTTAAGTAGCAGTCGAAAGGTAAAGGACAGTCAGACCTCTTAGACAAAATGACTAGATTGTTCACTCAACATGCCAGGCAGACTATACTATTCACAACCCCTTTCCTTGCCAGTGCAGCTACCTGCAAAACAGTCATTCCACTGAAATGCAAAATAAGATTATACCAATTAATATTCTGACATATGTCTCACTGTAAAATTAGTTATTCAGGAGATGCTGAATGCAAAGGCCTGCTAGGTTCAAACCCAAAGAGACACAGAATGAACCAATACTGCAAAATTACACTTTAATTTTCTATCTGTACCAATAGACAAATTATAGTAACTGAGGAAACTGGAACAGCAGGTAATGAAAGCAATCTTTCAATACCTGCTTCAGAATCAGTAGATGCAGTTCAACACTGGTAATCACATTATCTATTAAGGCTGAGAAGATTAATCAGAGATAATCTCCCTAATAGAAGGGTAGATGAGGATATGAATAATTATCTGAATGAAATAAACAGTCACTGTCAGCAGTCTCCAACCCACAGATGAGCACAATACCTTGCCTAAAAACCACTCCTGCATTGCCAATAGCCATAATGACACTCCTGCCACAGCTGTGTTTAACAGAGTGAGCAAGATGGATGATATCTGCAATGTTTGCTGCACACTACTGCCCAAAACACAGTGAAAATCAGCGATCACTTAACTCGACTAGCACTTGAAACCATGGCTTCTTCTGTTCTAAGTAGAAAAATGTTGTATGGAGCCAAATGGCTCTGAACGTGCTAGGTACAGTCAAAATACTATACTACTGCATCTTAATGACTATAACCTGTTACTCCACAGTGGCTCCTAGCTCCTATAAGGGAGTTGTGCTGCTGTGACTTTACTGCTCCTCTGAAACTCCACACAACACTGTTTTGCTGTGCTATGAAACAAACCCTAGGGTATCTTGTAAATGACACATTTCCACATAAGAATATCTGATGTTTGATGGGAATATAAAGATTCTTCAATGTATGTGGACTGAAATTCCCTTTAACTAGTTAGACCACCAAGAGTCTGCAAAACCAGGACACATGGGGAAAGAGCACAACCCTGATTTCTTCAGAAAAAGTTTGCTGGAACTGAAGATTTGTTTCCAGAATCATTTGATCAGCTGTAAGCTACAAGTTTGAACCATCTTTTAAAACGGGAGTTAAGCTGCATTGAAAATTTACTCAAGATCAGTATTACAGGTTTAAAAACAAAACTACTCCAGTGCTAAAGGACAGACATTTAACAATAGATAAGGGGTGAGATCCAGTAAAGGTCTTGCAAAAGACAACGCAAACAGTACAACAACTCACTTCCAGACTCTGAGAAACAGTGTTAGGCTATGCCTGCACTGCACACACAGCCCGTGAGACTCTGAACATGCGCATTTGTAGTTAGCAACTGAGGTTCACTAACTGACTGCACTTCCATGCTGCTCAAGAAGCAGAAGTTCTTATTAGGAGAATGAAAAAAACCATAGAGCACTTACATCTACATCTTCACAGAAAGTAGCATTAGAACCATACTGAAGCTGGCACTGGTGATGCACATCATAAATCACTCCAGGAGCAATGACTGGGGACTTTAAAACTTCTTTTTGGGGGATATCATCTAGACAGAATCCCCACCCGCGACTAAAAGACAAAATTGCATATTAAAAGAACCCTGCAACCACAGCTTTTAGACATTCAATTACAGACTTTCAACTTCTAATTCTTAATGGTAATTTTACTTCCAAATTCCAGCCAAGTTATGTAGAAATGCTGCTAACAAACATCTAGTAAGGGACGGTTTAAAAAGGTAAAATATAGCTTATCAAAGGGGAAATATCACAAGGTCATTATAGTTTGCAGAATGTCTTCAGAGTACTCCAAAATTCTGGTTAAACTTGTATCATATTGCTGCTCTTTCAAAAAAAAACATAATGAATTTGAACAGGTAATGGAAGTCAACACATCTCATTGTGGCAAACGCAAGGTCTGTGATTTTCCATCAGAGTCCCTGATGGAAAGGTTTCTTTCTTCCTGACAGCTGTAGAAAGCAGGTTGCACCAAACCTGAGTCAATATGAGAAGACTTAAGTTCACTTCCAGAAAACAAGAATATAATGGTGCTTTTCCCAAACGCTAAGTGAACGATAAGCTTCGGGTATTTCTTCCATACAAATCAACTCAAGCACACTGCAAAAAGATAAATTTAGTAGTGTAATAATAGAGGATTTACTTTAAACTCCACGTAAACATCTCATACACAGCTGTATTCATTTCAAGCAACTGCTACAACCTGACCACTCACTCTAGGAAACGTGTGATGTATTCCTTGCTGCACTGTGACCAGGTAAGTGGAGTAGGATCATACTGCAACTGTCGGGACATAATATATGGGCGCTTTCCAACAGGCTCACAGTCATTCTCTTTTCCATCGTGCTGGATGCCAAAGCTGGAGATAAAAACCAACATTTAGCAATTCTACCTGATTGGTTGTACCACAACACCTACCTATGGGTTCCACACTGTGCTTAAAAATACACTGGAGCTGTTTTCTACTGTGGTGAGATGTAGATACCTGTTTGCTAAAAATCTACCAAAAAAATCTACACTCCCTCCAACAAAGCTTTCAAATATATGTTATGTACAGCACAAAATAAAGAACAGACTGTGAAAGACTATACTGAAGGGAATTTTTAAGGAACACAAAACACTATTGAACAGTTGGGCTGGGAATCACAGCTTAAACCTCAAAGTTCTATTAAAGCTGCTAAACGTAAAAGTGATTCCTAGCTTTTGGATCCCAATTATTTCAGACTTATACCACTTTATCTAAGACCAGGCTTTGTTACATTCTGTCTTACAGTGCCTTATAATCATGCCTCTATTGCTCGGGGTTTTTATATCTCTTTTTATAGACTGAAATAGAGCTACTGACTGGATGCAAGGATAAAATTCTTTACAATGAATTACAATGAATACATGCAAAACACTGGAAAAGGATGTGGTAGATATGCCATCTCTGGAGACATTTAAGACCAGGCTAGATGCGGTTCCTGTTCACCTGATGTAGATGAAGAAGAATGAAAAAAGTCTTATAGAAAGTGGAAGCAAGGACAGGCGGCTTGGGAAGAGTACAGGGATGTTGTCCGGGAAGCTAGGGACTCAGTGTCAAAAGAGATTCAAAAATCAGATTATTTTCAGGTGAGGTTAATAAAACAACTCACCATCAAAAACACCCTGGAAATTTGAAATACTGAGACACCTAGTTCAAGCAAATATCCAATAGTAAAGAGCTTAGCTGTGTCTGAAACTAAATGCCCTGGAACTGCAGTTCACAAGTGTATCCACAACTGCAGTATTAATATACAGAAGACATTAGTTATTAAGAAATGCCCAAAAGTGACTTTATTTGTAGGTCAGAAAGGAGAACAAAGATAGTTGATATTTCTGTGAGGTTTGACTGCTTGAATTGAAAATGGTTTCTAGCTAATCTGCAATGTTGAAGTACCTTGATTTAATGAAACAGGTATGCTTTAAATTACTTGGATTGATTTGGAGATCATCTAAAGTAATTGCATAGTAATTCAGTATATATTTGGAAAAATCAGCATGATTAAGTCATGCTTCTTTGTAGCTTAAATATTTCATCCTGATGTACTGCCCCAGACTGTTAAAAGGAGCAGACTGGATAATTGTAGATACAAAGGTCAGTGGCTTAAGAAACTCTTTCTTATTCCTTAGCCTAGAGAAAGCAAACACAGTTTTGATTTTAGTAACAGAGACATTAACTTACTCCCTCTTTTGCTTCTGTCTGACAATTTGATTATTAACAAACATACAATAAATTAAACTCAGCTAGCCATCCCCCCTTCAAATTCAACTATACCTGTGTCCAAGTTCATGAGCAATAGTAAAAGCCAAAGGTAGGCCAGAATCTTCATTAATGTTACAGCTTCTGTGAGGTTGACACATGCCTGACAGGTGAGATAAACCTAAGGTTTCACATGGACGATTCATGCCAGCACAAATGTCCTTTCTAGAATCACAAAAGAGACATGTCATTAGAAGAGCTTAAAATCATCTGGAGAGCATCAGTTACATTAGGTGGTAAGTCTCTATTTTATAACGTATTAGTGCTAACTGGCATTTTAAGCAAAGTACAACGTTAACGTATTTGCAAATATATGCAACAAAAATAAGCAGTTTTTCTGCTACTATCAGAGTATACTGCTACAATGTGCAGCCACTATTACGTTGCTGCAGTGCCTAAATACATATCTTTACTGTCAGCTCACATAAGTTTTAAAGCCTTCACTGTTTTGAGGCATGGTTTATTAAACTCACCATACCTCTCAGCTTCAGTCACATGAACTGCTTGAAGCCTGTTTATTTGTAGAGGTAAACCATGCATCATCATGAGACTTCTTTTTCGCATTCTTATTTTAAGATTTGTTGACTCTTTACTGCACCACCACTTGAGGGATTTTATTTTTCTGATGGGTTGATTTTTTTTGCCTGACAGACTTTAACTTAGGACTTTTTTTTCTTGCAAGCCTTAGACTCAGTCTTTTCTGTCATTCTTCTCAGTGTTTTCTCTCAGTTGTGTGCAGATTGCATCCATTTCTACGATTTGTAGTTCTGTTTCATGTTCTTCCAAAAACTCCCTGTGTAATCTCAAACATAAACTTCAAGCGTGCTGTTCCTCCCTTGTTCATATAGAAAAAAATGTATCTTCTTAAATACAGAGATAATATTTAAAAATCGTACACTTTATTGCTTAAAAATAATGGCAGTGTGTTTGCCAGATAATCTTCAGTTCTGAGCTGCACCTGTACATGGCTTTAGGATTTGTTGTTATGGAGTTCTTCATCTACATGCTATGTTGTTTTGGTGTATTGCCTCAAAGAAGAACAGAGAAGTGACTAAGCACAAAATGAGATATGAGCAAGTGGGGAAAATTACTTGAGATCTGCAAACTGCTAATCTCTCAGGACATACAGATCGCTATTTCCTGACTAAAATGCATCACCAATAAAACACCCACGTGTATACATAAGTGCTATATGTATTTTGAAAACAAATTAAAAACAATCCTTTTAAGAAGTACAGCAGGTCTAACTTTAACCACATGGTTTATTCTCGTTCTCTGCCTGTATGAGTGTCAGGCACACTCACACTAGGTTATTTTTTGCATTACCGCTGTATTTTTGAAACAGCATGTCTTCATTAGACCACTTTACTGCATTCTATGCAGGATGAACCAAACGATGTAATGAGCCTATTCAAAAAATATCATCGCCATCAAAATGCAACTAAACAATAGACAGTCACAGGCACTGAACTGCTGTCATACCTGGTTAGAAGGACTGCCACGTCATGGTGTGTAGGGTTGATGTCACTTTTGGGATTGACACTCTTCTGCCATTTGCAGAAACTAGCTAGTGTCTTATCAGCATGGTGAACTATCTTCAAGCCTTGCTAATGGGAAATGAAGGAAAACATTATTGTAAACACCATGCTGCACTGCAGTAACATGTCAGTGATGTTAGCTGTGAAGCTGGGTAATCTCTGAAATGCCCTTATGCTTTTGCCTGAAGACAGAGCCATCATTAGGAGCAATAAAATCTATTTATCCAACATATTGAATATTAAGTTAAAATGTTGATGTGCTTATAGTTGGTGCAGCTAAAGGAGAAACTAAATGCAGAAATGTACGTATTTATTGGTAAGTGATCTTCCAGTGATACAGCACTGAACTGAAACTGTCAAAAAAACGTTTTATATTCTCTTGAAAGCAAGTTCTCATCTACAGAGAAGGTAAAGACTACTTAGTATTGAACTTCATGCTCTAGTTTTTCTCAGTGCTATGTGAAAAATGTTATGCTCAGGGAACAATTACGCTTCCAAGGGTCTATTTCATTCACAATGTTTTTCAATTCCTGAGAGTCATTTGCAATGCAGTCATAGGTGTTTCTTCCTCATCTTATAATTATATATTATATATGCAAGTTACTGAAACTGCTTCTGAAATACAAAGTGTGCAAAATAAATTCATTCAGACCTGTATTTTTCTCATTTCTGGTCTTAGGCATTCACTTTGTCTCAGTTTAGTCTATTTAAATAAAATTTTTACACACTATCTCAATAACATTGTTACTAGATAGTAATTTCTGGGCAACATAAAAATAAATTTTGAAAGATATGCAACCCTGCTGCTTCGAACACTGTCCTGCTTGATCCATGATTTATTATCAAAACAGCCGCAGTAATTTCGCAAGTAAACTTAACTGGATGTCATCATGTACTTCAGGTTCTAACTGTCCTGTTAAGATGTGAACTGAAGGTTTTGGCCCACATCCTCTTACAATGAGGGATACAAGGATAGCCTCTATACTAATAATTTATTCCAGAAGAGACTGCCTGGCCTCATGGCTTCATTCACTGCCTTCAGGAGCATCTGGCTTGTGCTTATAAAACATAAGCCATGGAGAAAAATTCCCTTACTGTGTTACTGCAGTCAGAGCTACTTATGTCATGCACAGAGTTGGGTTTTTTTTGACATATAAAATTATGACAATCAGCATTTACTTAAGCATGTAACAACATATTTGTGAATGACAGACACTAGAAACTACCAACATATAACTAGTTTACAGCAACTAGCACCTATTAAGGTTTGGTTTTGGTTTCCTTCTAAAGGTCTAAAAAGGAAAATGTTTGAGCTGCACAATGATAAACTCACTTCTTCAGAGACCTGCAAATACTCTAGCATACAATGCATTACAGGTAATGATAGGTAATTAGATTCTGAGTGATGATGCATAATTTCTGTTTTTCATTTGGCCTTCCTTGGCATCCCATATTCTTTTGAAACTGGGGAGATTCCATTTTCCTATTCCTAATTTGCTTGTTTTATTTACATTTTCCTTGGTGATTTTATGCAGAAATACCTGAAATCATCAGCTAAATACTTTGCTATCCAGCAAAGTCTGGTTTTAGAATTTGTTCTGCCAAAGATCATAGAACAGTAAAATTAACACATTATTGTAAGCAAACAAACTCTTCTTTACAACTGTAGCTCAATGCATTGAAGTCCCAAGTCTGACAATATGTGACATTTTGAGGAAAATGAAAACCTTACCTCCTCCTCCTCAAAGAGAATGAGCCGAACCAGCACAATGTGAATTGCATTGCCAATGCTTGGATCATGGAACAACCCTGTGACCTGTGCCAGAGCCAGGAGGTATTAGATTAACTGATTCCTCTATAGCACAACAGGAATTTAGAGAGAAAATACATTTACTTCAAGCACACTGTTTGTCTTGATGCGGAGGTGCTGTTTTAGTTTTTAAATTCTCAACACACTTCACTGATTGTTTACTAAAATGCAGTAAACGTTAGAACTACTGCAAAGGACAGCTCTGCCAAATGAGTTCCGATACAGGATTTGGCAAAAGTTATTAAGCTAAAGACCAAAAGCATATGCAAGATTATTTATGTCCATTTCCCTTCCAAGAACCTCAGAGTTCTCAAAAAACACCTGCAGGAAAGAATGTAACATGTAGAGTCACATAACACTGATGGAGAGAGGTTCACTCTGGGTGCAAAAAAAATCAGCGTATCAAATTATTCTGTTTTGGTTTTTTTGTCAGAGACATGGACAGTGCTAGTGACACAGACAGCAGAAGCCTGGAGAACATTAAGAAGGACTACAGAGCCCTGGGACAGGTGGTTAGGGGCTCTGGAGCTCAGAAAGTCTTTTTGTCAACTCTCCGGGATAAAGGCAGAGGTTTCAAGGTTTTTTTAAACCTTAAAAAGGCTAGGAGGATTGGCCAGGTTAATAAATGGTTAGAAGGGTGGTGCCGTAGTCAGGGGTTTGGGTATTTAGAACACGGGACTCAATTTAGGAGGCCAGGTCTACTGGAGGCTGGTGGAGCTGGTCGTTTTGGCTTGCCAGACTGGTCAAGGATGCTTTAAATTAGATGTGTTGGGGGAGGGAAGCATCATTCCATTCCAACACTCCCAGTCAGTTGCCAGCACCTATAGTAAATGCTCGGAGCAATGTAGAGATATTCCAGCTGCTCCAGCCAATGAGCCGGCATCATTTGGAGCTCAGCTCAGATGCCTCTATACAAATGCTCGTAGCATGGGGATCAAACAAGAAGAATTAGAGATGTGTGCACATCTATGGGGATATGATATAACGGGCATCACAGAAACATGGTGGGATGGCTCCTATGACTGGAGTGTTGGAACAGAAGGCTACAGGCTCTTTAGAAAAGACAGGCCTGGCAGGCAGGGAGGGGGAGTTGATATTTAAGTTAGGGATAAGCTGGAGAGTATGGAACTCTGTCTGGCGAGAGGTGAGCACTCAATAGAGAGTTTGTGGGTCAGGGTTAAAGGGAGAACAGCGATGGGAGACATTACTGTGGGGATCTGTTACAGACAGCCTGATCAAGAGGACTCTGTGGATGGACTCCATAGACAGACAGGAAAAGCCTCATCCTCGCATGCCCTTGTCCTCATGGGGGACTCCAACCACCCTGATATCTGTTAGAAGGACGGTACAGCCTGACACAAGCAATCCAGGAGGTTCCTCGATTGTGTGGAAGACAACTTCCTTCTGCAAGTAACAGAGGAGCCAACAAGGAGAGGTGCCATGCTTGACCTCGTGCTCACCAACAGGGAAGGGCTCGTTGGAAATGTGACACTCCAGGGCAGCCTTGGATGAAGCGATCATGAGATGGTCGAGTTTGAGATCCTCAGGACAGCAAGAAGAGCATGCAGCAAGCTCACTGCCCTGGACTTCAAGCGGGCAGATTTTGCCCTCTTCAGGAACCTGCTTAGTAAGGTTCCATGGGATATAGCCCTACAGGGCAAGTGGGCCCAAGACTGTTGACTGATCAAGGATTACCCACTACAATCTCAGGAGTGTTGCATCCCAACTAGAAGGAAGTGCAGCAGGAGGGCCAGGAGACATCCTTGGATGGATAAGGAGCTGCTGAGGAGACTCTGAGGGAAAAAAGAGGCTTACAAAAGGTGGAAGCAAGGACAGGCAGCCTGGGAAGAGTACAGGGATGTTGTGCGGGAAGCTAGGGACCAGGTTAGGAAAGCTAAGGCCCAGTTAGAATTAAATTTGGCTAGGAATGTTAAGGATAACAGGAAGGGATTCTACAGGTATATAGCAAATAAAAGACAGACTAGGGACAACGTGAGCCCTCTACAGAACCTATCAGGAGAACTGGCAACCATGGATTTGGAGAAGGCTGAGGTTCTGAATGACTTCTTTGCCTCATTCTTCACCGGCAAATATTCTGACCACACCACCCAAGTCTTGGAAGGCAGACACAGGGAATGTGAGAATGAAGAGCTTAGGCCCACTGTAGGAGAGGAATTGGTTCGAGACCATCTTAAAAATCTGAATGTGCACAAGTCCATGGGACCTGATGAAATCCATCCCTGGGTCCTGAAGGAGCTGGCGAATGAACTTGCTAAGCCATTGTACATAATATTTGAAAAATCACAGCAGCCAGGTGAAGTTCCTGACAGCTGGGAAAAGGGAAATATAACCCCCATTTTCAAGAAGGGGAAAATGGATGACGCAGGGAACTACAGACCAGTCAGTCTCACCTTCTATGGCCTTCTATGATGGGAATACAGAACTAATGGACAGGGATAGAGGAGTTGATATCATCTACCTGGTCTTGTGCAAAGCGTTCCGACACTGCCCCGCACAACATCCTTGTCTCTGAATTGGAGAGACATCAGTTTGATAGGTGGACCACTCAGTGGATAAAGAACTGGCTGGATGGGGGGTCTATAAGAATACTGGGGAGGGGCTGTTCTTTAGGGACTGTAGCAACAGCACAAGCAGTAACAAGTTTAAACTCAAACATGGGAAGTTCAGGTTAGTTATATCTAACCTGGTATAGTTAGGACATAGGATACAGGAAGAAGTTCTTTACTGTGAGGGTAGTGAGGCACTGGAACAGGCTGCCCAAGGCAGTGGTAAATGCTCCATCCCTGGCAGCGTTCAAGGCCAGGTGGGACAGAGCCCTGGGTGACATGGTCTAGTGTGAGGCATCCCTGCCCACAGTAGGGTGGCTGGAACTAGATGATCTTAAGGTCCTTTCCAATCCAAACCATTCCATGATCCTATGATTTAATAAGAATCAGCTTTTGCCACAAAAAAGCAAAAAATATTCAGTACTAGGCAAAGAGAAATCAGTCAAATTATGGATACTCTTGTGTTTTCACAGCACAGAAAAGGATGGTAAGAACAAAAGCAAGGATAATGAATCCATTAAAAAAATGTCAACATTAGAAAAGAGCAAGAAATGAACTAAAAAAATATCTGACCCAAATGCCATAAACACCATCACAATGTTGAATTAGGCAGGAGGAAAAGGATACGGAACAGAAAACAGTAATAATCAATCTCTATGTGAGCTATCACAAGAAATATGTATGGACAAAACTGATTGTGTTTGGGTCACAACGGAGAAATTACCAAAATCAGCTGGAAATTGTATTTCCAAAAGTCTGATTTGGATATGGGTCTTTTTCAAGGTACTAAACTGAAAATTGAATCGTGAGTAACCCCAGTATTTCAGGTACAAACTGCAGAGAAGATGGGAAGGCTTGGTTTCTCTTGAATCTGATCATGACAGGGGTTTATTCCACGTATTTCCCCTGTGGGAATCAGGAAACATACTGTATGAAGTAAGGGACAGAGAGGTTAACATGGCTAGAATTACACTGTGATTAATTTCATATATATATATTACACACATACTATGATAATGACACATAAGGCATCCTCAATAGACTCTTCATGGTCAATATCCACTATGATATAGATATTAACAGAAGACGTATCTGTAGGCAGTCCTATGAAACGCTATTGCTTTTTCCTACTAATGATTTTGAAACTTGCCACAAAGGAAAACACTGAAAGTTAAACTTTGGTATTATAGGCAGACACTCACCTGGAAAAACAGTTGTGCTGGTTTTAACAGGGATAGAGTTACCTTTCTTCATAATAGCTTGTGTTGTTTGTATTTGTGACCAGAACAGTAGCACACTGATATTTTAGTTCTTGCTAAGTTAGTAAGATTTGCAATAGACTGCTACATGCCTTTCTTATCCACAGACATGGGAAAAGAATTTCTCTCTGTTGCTCTAGCTACCAACCCAAGATCACCAATGAGCAGTGATCAGGGCAGACAGAGAATTTCAATGGAAAGAAATTTACTGCTAGCATTTATAGCTATGAAACTTCTCTCACTTAAACTCCGAAGGAAAATAATGCCTGTGCAAGATACAAAGTAAAAAATGCTTTAAAATTCAAAGTTTCAATGAGCATATATGAATGATATTACATTTCTTTCAGTGAACGATGTTACAGACTTCTTTCAAGGAGATCAGTAACATAAGCTAAAATTTGCTTCATTTATCAATCAAAAAAAAAAGGAAATACTGTACATACCATATTCATTATAGTGAGGATGTATGACTCCACATGGTCACTTCCATGATACTCAACCATCTTACTGTCTGCAACTACAAGTGTCTCCACCCATCGCTCCTTGCTAACAGAGCGCCGAGAAACCTTTCTGGCAGCCATATGATTTTGTTCCCATCTCTCCCTCTGATGCTGCTGCTGTTTGAAAAAGCTGAGGGTATCTGGAAGAATAAGAAGCAATGCTGACTTCAAAATATTTTCAAGCTTGATTTGAAGTGTACAGCTGTAACACTTGCAGATGGAATGGCAGCATCACAGAATCACAGAACGATTGATATATGTTGGAAGGGACTTCTGGCTGCCACCTACCTGACACACAGCAAAGCTAACTCCAAAGTGACAGCAGTTTGCTAAGGGCCCTATCCAGCAATGTTCTGATACACACCCCTAGATGGATTAAATAGACATGCAGAAGTTATCTCTACTCAAATGCCACAGATTAAGGTACAAGACAGAACCAAGCTAAGAAAATATTACATTGGGGATGTCATTTTCAAGGAATTTCTATTCTGTGGTCTGGCTTTAAGCTCTCCAGTGACACCAGTTCATAGTGATGATAAAGGATATGCTTTATCCATTGGCAGCTCTTAATTCTCAGCAGAATGGCACATTAAGGCCAGTGCTGTGGCACATCCAAGATTAGTTTGTTCGGTGCATGGAAAATATGCCTCAAGAATAGGGATACTTCACCAGTAGGTGTCATCTAAATACTAATCAGGCAGACAAACCATAGGCTTCTCAGGGGCTGCTATCCTGTCTGATTAACAGAAAAGACAGTGTTTCCACTACAATTTTGGGATTTGTGCAGCTACCGCTTTCCAGGAAGAAGTCTTTGCTCTGTAGAGTTGCTATCAAGCTTGCTGATAGCAAGTGGGGATAACTACCCTCCACTCACTGTAGCTTTGAGCGCCAGTTGTATTACCAGGGAAATACTGGGGATGTAAATATCACTAGGTCTGAAAAAGAAATGAAGAGATGCCAGTTTGACAGCAACTGGTGGCATTTTTCCAACCCAGAAGCCAAAGAAATACTTCTACAGTGCTGGGATTCCCCCAGTGCTAGGACTGATGAGGAGCATCCTTCCTTGTTGCTATTATAGATACTGCAGTAGTCCTTTTGCTTCTCACTCGTGAAAGAGGATGACCTTATTCCAGATGGGGCACATCTGCACACCAGAAAGACTGTGCCTACCTCCAAGTGCTTTCAGCCTGCCCAGCAGAATGTCCAGTGCTGGGAAAGGATGTTCAGCATTACCTCCACCCCTCCAAGTCCCAGCACTAACTGTTGCTCTGCACTTAGTACTCGAGCCACTCTTTCCTTAAAGAATGGATGACCTGGCAGCTGGGTCCCAAATCTTGTGTTCACCCCAGGAGAAAATCTGTTACACCTTTGTAACGAATGCACTGTTCGCCCTTTCAAAGACTTAGATGCAGCCAGAATTTACCATGGCATCTTGCATTTCTACAAAATGTAGCACCACTGGACAATTAATGATGTTTATAATACATCTTTCAGGGTAAAAGGTGACTGCACATATGCAATAAATCAAGATATCAAAGGAAGATGCACAGATTTTTAGAAATAAGATCTCCAAGGTCATCTGAAAGGTGCCTAGAGAAAGAAATGCTGGCACTGATAACATATTATGTGTAAAATTGAAATATGTCACATTAATAATCAAAACTACAGCAGGCACATCACACATTTAAAACTGAACCACAGTGCACAAGTGTGTAGTAGACAGCAGCTCCATTAGTTGATACACACTGTGACCAGTTAGCACTGCATTGCAGCACCAGTTCAGGATTTCAACCAGCACCAGGCACATGCCACCAGGAAGCACAAAAACCTCCAAAATTACCCCAGACAGGTTCATCCTAATATTGGAAACCAGTACCTCCCTGGATCAGGACACTGTAATGAAGCTGAAATAATATAATATGAAGAACAACATCTATATTGTTGATTTAGAATGTAGTAAATAAATAAATATAGCTGTGCATAGACTTCTTTTTGCAAGAATGGGCATCTGCATTTTAAAAGATGCTTAAGTACTACTTGTGAAGTACAAAGAACCATAAAACTTTTTACCTGCTTGGCAAGACAAATAATAATGGAATGTAAGACAAGTTTGAATAAATGTAAAAAAAAAATTCAGTAAACATAAAAGTTGGTAATTTTTACTATTCATGAACTGTGATAAAAAAGACTGTGCAAAAGAAACCCCATGCATATCAGTTTCCCTTGTGATTACCAACCAAAATCACTTGTCAGCGTCATCCTGTGCACCCACACACAGAGACTGTCCTGTACATATGTAAGTAGAAAAAAGTTAATAAAGAAAGTTGCCTTCCCACCAAGCCAAGGGACTCAAAGAAAGGCACTCATTTTTGTATCTTAGTATTGAAGAATTAGCTGCATGGAAAAATAGCTTGTTGCCTGTGTCCCTGCCCATGGCAGGGGGGTTGGAACTTGATGAACTTAAGGTCTTTTCCAACCCTAACTATTCTATGATTCTATGATTCTGTGAAAGATTATAATTTGTGAGTAAAGATAAAGAAAGTGGGTGTTTATTTGGTTTTGTTTGTTTAGAGTCAAAGCGGTTTTGTTTCAAGAGAAGGGAGATGGAGTATGACAGCTACAACCTCTACCCTAACCCTACTAACCCGGTCTACAGCATCACTCCTGCTGTATAACTCAATCTTTGTTTCGTTACTGCAATAGCCACCTCTATGAGGGGCTATTTATGAGCTGCATTCATCAGTCCCTCTTCTACATTTGCATGATGACCTGGATTCAGCTGAAACCAGGACACATGGTTTTCAGCATCCCTTTTTTCATAAAGCACACTTCTCAGTATCTACATTTTTAAGGGTTTTGTGCTGAGAAAAACCTTCTCCACAGCTACTTAAACAAAAAAAAAAATCTGTTCACATTGTTGGTTAAGTGATTTGTTTACAGTCAAAATATGAGGCAAGCTGTCAGGCTTTGTATTCACATCTAGCAAAGAGTTTTGTTTATTGTCTAGACAAGTGATGGCACTGTAGGTAAAAATATTTGAAGCCATACAGTGAACAACTCTCAGGAAAAAGTCTGGAGTGCTGGTTGAGCATGAGGCTATGTACTACAAGATTTCAGAACAGACTTAAGTTGTGAAAATTAATGCCAGGTAGCAAAGGGATTCTGCAGACAAAACTCTGCAGGGCTCAGCAACCTATCCCATCCAGTGCAGGGATCTAACCTGGAAGGGTGTCATCTGAGGACTGGATCCCTGCTGGTCTCCTGGCAGCTTTCTTAGATGAAGCAGAGAGAAAGAACTTGTAGGAACTACACTAACATACATGCAGGTATACAGTATGGTTCTAATGCTTTTGCCTCTTCAAATGATAATTGTCTCTGTTAAGCTTTTCATTCTGGGGTAAAATAACCTCACCTTGCTTTTACCTTAAATTAGAAAAGTATTGAAAGTGATTGCAGATTTGCTGAGAAATCCCAGGCACCTTCTTGTCCAGGAATAGAAATCTTGACTAGAAGCCCACCAGTTCAGGAATACCCAAGGAGTGATGGTTGATCTGAGACCTAGTAACATACAGTACTGTCTGAAAAAAGCTTGCCTCCCCATGCTCTTCCATCATACATGCTGAGCACAGCAAACTCTAGTCCTTGGAACAAAAATTAAGGTAGTGCTGAAAGCATGTCCAGCATAGTCTAAGACTTAAGGAAAAGAAGGTTGCCAAGAGTTTCAGCTACCAAATTGCATGAAAATACTCAGAAAGGAAGTTTCTATCAGTCATGGGAGATAATTTTGCAGATGTGAAGCTTTTATTAGAAAACTTGATTCATGCAAACAAGTCACACACAATGTTGCATGAGTCATATGTGATATACAGCCATATATCACTGTGTAACCAAGAGAAATGGTGCAGATGACAACATTTTCATAGAATCATAGAATAGTTAGGGTTGGAAAGGACCTTAAGATCATCTAGTTCCAACCCCCCTGCCATAGGCAGGGACACCTCACACTAAACCAGGACACCCAAGGCTCTGTCCAACCTGGCCTTGAACACTGCCAGGCTCCCTGGGCAACCCATTCCAGTTCCTCACCACACTTACAGTAAAGAGCTTCTTCCTTATATCCAACCTAAACTTCCCCTGTTGAAGTTCTAACCTATGACCCCTGCTCCTATCACTACAGTCCTTAATGGATAGTCCCACCCCGGTATTCTTATAGGCCCCCTTCACATACTGGAAGGCTGCTATGAGGTCTCTGCACAGCCTTCTCTTCTCCAGGATGAACAGCCCCAACTTTCTCAGCCTGTCTTCATACAGGAGGTGCTCCAGTCCCCTGATCATCCTCGTGGCCTCCTCTGGACTTGTTCCAACAGTTCCATGTCCTTTTTATGTTGAGGACACCAGAACTGTACACAATACTCCAACTGAGGTCTTATGAGAGCAGAGCAGAGGGGCAGGATCACCTCCTTCAACCTGCTGGTCACACTCCTTTTGATGCAGCCCAGGATACGGTTGGCTTCTGGGCTGCGAGCACACACTGAAGACAGCTCATGTTCATTTTCTCATCCACCAACACCCCCAAGTCCTTCTCCACAGGGTTGCTCTGGATCTCTTCTCTGCCCAGCCTGTAGCTGTGCCTGGGATTGCTCCAACCCAGGTGTAGGACCTTGCACTTAGCATGGTTAAACTTCATAAGGCTGGCATCAGCCCACCTCACAAGCGTGTCAAGGTCCCTCTGGACGGCATTCCTTCCCTCCAGCGTATCAACCGAACCACACAGCTTGGTGTCATCAGCAAACTTGATGAGGGCGCACTCAATCCCACTGTCCATGTCACAGACAAAGATGCTGAACAAGACCGTCCCAACACTGATCCCTAAGGGATACCATTCGTTACTGGTCTCCAGCCAGGCATTGAGACATTGACCTCTTTGTGTGCAGCCATCCAGCCAGTTCTTTATCCACCGAGTGGTCCACCTATCAAATTGATGTCTCTCCAATTTAGAGAAAAGGATGTCATGAGGGACAGTGTCAGATGCTTTGCACAAGTCCAGGTAGATGACATCAACTGCTCTACCCCTGTCCATCAGTTCCATAGCCCCATCATAGAAGACCACCAAATTGGTCAGGCAGGATTTCTCCTTAGT